TATCAGCACTACCAGGCGACCCCATCCCCTTCATCGCTTCGACCTCCCGGTGCATCCATTTCTTCCGCATCTTGGGCGGCATGCGATCTCCCGTTGCTGGAGGTGGCTCCACGTCGAAATCAGGCGCGAGAGATGTTGACCGCCCATCATTTGAGTCGTTCGAGGGTTGTAGTCCTGGGTCTGGTGGTCGCAGTTCAGAGGAATGATGTGTTTGGGTCTTTGCAGGCTGATCTTCTGGATGGAGCAGACGAAATACCGGGTTGGAGGTGCCCGATCGCTGGGCTGAGGAAGGATAAGATAAGTACGAAGATGATGAAAGGAAGATTGATATAGGAAGAAAGTACGAAGATTAACCGACGATGAGCATAAAGGGAAGACGATGGGTAACGATAAAACAGCGTCGGGGAAGAAAGGGACAAAACGACTTAAAGAATGAAAACCGCTGAAGGGATGACATACCTTGCCCATCGACCGAGCCATTCTTCTTCCTCTGAGACTGTCCATCCGTCATCTCGACATCACCATCAATATCGACCGCCTTCGCCTTGCCCTTCCTCCTCGACGGACTAGGTGAGGACGGCGACAATGCAAAGCTGGGCAAAGGCGGCGGCAGATCCTTGCGATGGTCTCTGTCCATCGAGAACGCTGGTTTGAGACTACTAGGGCCTGCACTGGCGTTGACGTGGTACCCGTTCAGCGTCACCTTCTTCCGCCCTCGATCCTCATTGTCCTGCTCCGGCGGCACCATCTCCATCCCGCCCATTCCTCCGCTGAAGGGTATCCGCTCTCGCGTCTTGAAACCGCGTTTTCGGCCCACAAGAGGACCCAGGTCGATGTCCTTTTCCCGCTCATCGTCGCTGGCCGCTCCGTGATGATTCCGAGGTGTTAGCAATTGCGATTGACCGTCGACGAAAGCAGCCATTTGCGTCAGGGCACAATCGCGTGCTCGTGCTCCGCATGCACAGGTCGTAAACGTCGAGGAGAGGGCGTGGAGGATGTTCGACATCTGGTTGCGGAGGTGGGCGATTTCGTTTGGGCTATATTCGGTTTTGTGGTCGTCGCAGTCGTGGGCAGAGGGGTTGATGGTCGTAGGAGGCGAACGAGGACTGGAACTCGGTAAACAATGGTATGAAAGGTAAAAGAAATAGAATACGAACGGAAAAGCAGGAGGCGCCTCCAATAACGCAGGTAGGCTATGAACAGCATTGCCATCGTCCCATTCCCAACCCAACACGATATCCTCGTCTGCCTTGAGGTCGCACAGGGCAAAGACGCCGAATCCGAGGGTCGTTTCGTCCTGTTCTCGGTCTGCTGGTGAGTCGAACGGTCGTGGGGTATTCAAAGCCGGTGTCGGCTTATTCTTGTCCCTCTCGCACAGCAGCGGGCGCAGGACCGCGTTAGGACGACATCCACTCCTCACGAATCGCCCGTCGTTCCCTGCGAGACGAGAATCTAATGCCACGTCGAGAGGTGGTCCGATAAGGTGCACGAATGGCTTCGGCATCCCTAGGTGAGCGTAGGCATTCGGTGGGTCGGATAAGTACTGGGCTGAGGGGGCAATCGACGATTCGTAGGAGGTTATGAGGCTCTTGGAGGGGATTGGGGCGGTCGTATGTAGTCCATAGGTCGGTGGTAGGACGTGAGGATTCGAGTTGAGAGCCAGAAAGGGATTCTGGATCGACAACGGCGGAAGCTCCTTGATGGTTGTTGGCGGTGGTGAAGAGGAGTCGGCAACGGCGGTTACACCCCTCCAGTGGTGGGCTTGTCGTCGTAGCTTGGCACGGGTCTCGTCTTTGGTGATGATGTCCTCGTTGATATGGACGTACGCCTGCGTCCAAGGCTCCTCAACCTCGACGTGCTCCTCCTTCGCCGCCGGCGGGGGCGCTGCGACCAGAGGCGTAGTCGATTGAACGACGGATGGTCGCCGTTTGCGCTTCCCCCCATCGATAGCGGCCACACTTGTCCTCCTGTGTTTCCCACCCAACCTCTTCGGATCGTCCAACCCCAAGTTTTCCCGCTGAAACCTCGCCGCTCTTTCCTTCTCCGCCGCAGAACGAGGTTTCCATTTCCAACAGAGGAATTTCTCCGGCACGAACCCATTCATCCATTGCGAGAATGTTGGAACAGCGGCATGGGGTGCGCTTCGGCGGCGGCGGTCTCTTTCTGTGCGCTTCGAGACATAGATTCCATTGCCCTGGCGCACTGAACACGGTCCGGGTTGCATTTGCGTATTGTCTTCATGCCGTGTTTCATGTTCTTTTCGCGGGCGATGTTGGAGGGAAACTTTAAGGTTCGGATGACATCAGATTTTAACAGTGCGACTCAGATTCAATCTGCGCCGAGCTGAAGCTTCAACTTCAGCTCATGAGAAGTCGTCTAATGTGCACTTCCTGCCAGGGAATTAACAGATTCGAGAGCACCTGTACTCGACGCGACCTCTGCCAGCGTCAGGATGGTGGCCCATACGATCCCAAGACCCCTCAGAAACCCAAGCAACCAAGCAGACCCCCAACGCGCGTTCAACCGGAGATTCGATTGACCCGAATCAGAAGGAATCTGCAGACGATAAGTTTCTGAAGGCCAGCTCGCTCCTGAAACTGCCCAAGGGTACAAAGGCCTGTGTCGTAACCCTTCGGTCCGAGCCTGGGGCGGGGACCGAAATGTGCCACATCGTCGCAAGGAAAAAGAATACGGGCCCTTTCAAGGTGTGTTGCATTTTGAGCGTTGGCGTGCATTACATTCACGACGCGTAACAATAGCTCAGTTATTTTGAGTTCCTGTGGGGCATTGAATACAAAGAGTTCTGCGTCGACACGTCGAGGAACCTGATGAGATGTATGTGGTCCATTGAACGCGCCCAACCCGGACCGGTCTGACACTGCGAAACTAGTGTCCGCAAATCTTCACCGCGCATTTGATGAAGACAGCTGGGCACTGCTTCCCATTGACGACAAGGTCCTTTCGTCCATGAGACTTCACTACGAGGAGTGGAAGATTCTCGGACCTGAAATGAGCCAGAAACAGTATGAGCACCATATATTCAAGAAGGTACGAAGCAGATCCGTTCAGCAAACTGCGATTGACGCGTTCAATACAGTCTACGATCTACGGAAAGAGAAAGGCATTCCGATATGTCTTGCTTCCTCTGGCCTCCCCACGCTTCCATATGCCTGTTCTTCGTTGTAGGCCTCCCCTCGTCGTCCCCCAAACTGCGGCTGACATGCACATTTTCCCATATAACACCCTCCCCGAACTGATTCTTCACGTCGAGCCGCACTACGTGATCTGGAATCTTGGGGAAAAATTCAAGCGGCAAGGACTGACGTCGAAGTACATAGCCGAGGATCCCGCTCTTACACCTCTGAGGCCATACGCCAACGCCCTCAGAGTTTGCTTAGAAATTTTTGAGATGTGGTATGGCTTCAAAACTCCGGAGTGGTTCTATGACAATGATGACGACGACGACGACGACAGCGACGACAGCGATGGCGACAATAACAACAACAACAACGAGTTGGATCCGAACGCCGGTAGCCCCTCTCGTGGCACACGTGCTCAAAAACGCAAACGTCCCACTAGAACGGATGGTCCCGGAGGAGACGGCTCGCGGGGATACACCTTGAGCCAACATCCCGAAGACGAGCTGATGGACGACATCGGGTCTGACGACTCGTCGTCTCGGCAAGATGATGATAAGGACGACTTTATGGAATCGGAGGAGGACTTCTCAAACAGGATTGATGGATGGCGGGGAGAGGTGGCGATTTTCAATGAGAGCAGTGGTCTGGAGGGTTCTGGTTTGGACATGGTTGTCATTCCTCCTTGTGGCAACGATTTCGCCGCGTCGAAGCTCAATGATTTTGAGAGTCACGGGGCTCAAGGTGCAGCTGAGGTGATTTGACGGCTCTTTACTGTCATAGGACATACACTGTTTATCTGTTGAGCGCAGAGCGAAATGTGAGAAACTTTATTCTGAGTAATCTACAACGAGGCAGCATGCATTATGATTACTGTTTGGCAACACCCTTCAGAATGGGGTCTAATTGGTGTCTCGCAAGCATTGTCAATGACGGAGGGGCCTCAACTGCCCAACATTCAGTCCCTAGCTTATTATATTGAGGTATCATAATTTATACCTCAAGCTAAATATAAAATGGCAACAGATAGGAATGAGCAGGAGACAGAACCGGAGTGAAGCAGTGGTGGGTCTATGGAGCGATTACAGGTCCTTGGCTAGTATTTGATGTAAATTGTCATGTTCTTCGGTAGTCTTAAGGGATTAAAACAATGAAGAGGGGTCGTGAATGTGGATGGGAATGGGAGGAGGCAAAGTTATTGTGGGGGTGATTCTTGGCTATTAATCGCGGGCGTGTGAAAAGAGAGATAAGATAAGCGAGATCTCGACTTTGCATTCGCACCTTGCGACACAAGAGCTCCTGCTCACCATGCAGCAATTTTCTCATATTTAACCCTCTCCCGCGTCTTGTCCTTGTGTAAATGAAGTGCATGGCCACAAAAAAACGGGCCCAATCTACGGGCCTTCAATATTTCGAATTCCCTAGCCTTATGCTCGCCAACTTCAAAATGCTTGTGGACACTAACATCGCAACAATTGGTATATCCCATGCAAAAACAGGGAAACTACGCGGATAGACATCCGCTAAACCCAAACCCAGGCCCATGCCCGAACTCAACGTTCAACGTTCAAGCGCATACGTCTCTCCATGTTCCAACCATTCCAAAGCATCGCGTGCTTGGCGGACCAGCCCCAGATCGTGATCAAGCGACATCGAAAGTCCACTCGGCGCATGCCCATATCCATAACCAGCAGCACCCTCATGCGCAGGGGGCGCGAGCGAATGCGATTGATGACCATGGTAGTGATGGTGCATCGTCCCACCCGCCGTCCAGCTGCCGTACACACCCCACCTCCACCTGCTGTGCCGACGCTCGGCGAGCGAGCAGATGGTCGCCCGGGCCAGGGCACACCACTGCCAGCTCCAGCAGTACCGCGCGTCGCGGAGGTCGGGCTAAAGCTCGTCCCAGCACCACTACTTCCCGCACCATACGGATGGTGCCCACCCCCACTCCCACTCCCACTCCATTCACACAACCGCTTCAACGTGCCCACGATCCCCACCTCCGCCATCTCCTTCCTCCTCCTCGGGTTCGCCTTGGCCAGCACCAGCACACACGCCAGCGCGGGCCTCCGCACCGCCGCCGTCGACTCCGCGAGGCATGCCTGCAGCGCGGGCAGGAGCCCCGGGTAGCGCAGCATGAGGTCCTGCTGCTCGTGTGTCCCGTTGGCGAGGTTGGCGAGTGCGTAGGTCGCTTGGAGAGCGACATCTGCGCGGGAGGTGGAGGGGTAGGGGGACAAGGAAGTGGACTCGGAAGGATAGGAGGGCAGAGAGGGAGCGGAGAAGGCAGACCGCATCCCGTCAACGAGCTTTCCGAGGACGTGTGGCCCGATCTCACGGTAGACCATTGCGATACCCTCCTCGTTCTCTGCAAGGTTCCGCACGAGGTTAAACGCCTGTTCCTGGATCTCTTCGTCCGCATCGCTGAGCAGGCTACGTCGTGCATGTCAATTAGAATAAAATTATAAAAAATGAAAAAAGGAACAACGCACTCGAGTAGCTCAGGCCATCCAAGATGGCTCATGATATCCCTCTTCGTCTCCGTACTCGTCTTCCTAACAAGGTTCTTCACCGCCCAGAGCGCGTTCAGCCTTAACGCCGGGTCGCCCGACTCGCGTAGGATATACACGAGACGTGGCATGAGCTTCTCCTCCAGGTAAATCTGCCATACAGACTCATATCAGCGAACAAAGAGCGAACAAGAAAAAGACGAAGGCACGTACCGGCCTCAACGGCGAGAAATCATTAACGATATTACACACCGCCGACAAAGCAGCGCAGAGCACCCTCCTATCCTCTCCCAACCCGTTCTCTACATCCATCTTCATCCCCTCCTCCTCCTCCTCCCTCTCCCTATCCTTCGCAGACCCATCCAGCTCCTTCCCAAGCACGATCCTCAACACGTCCATCCCCAGGCCACTATCCACCACACCCGTCCGCAGCACCGCCACCGCCCTCGACACGGCCCGCACGCACTGGCACGCCGCGTACCGCACGCCCACCCCCGTAGGCGCCTTCGTTCGTAAAGCGCGCGATATACAGGGCAGCAGCCCCAGGTCGTCCGTCAGCCGCCGCCGCACGTCGTCCGACGAGAGCGCTAAGGAGGCGAGGGCGGTCAGGGCGGCTTCGAGCAGCGCGGAGAGGGGGGCAGGGGTGCAGTCTTCTTCTTGGAATAAGGAGGAGACGGAGGAGGGTATAAGCGCGTGTATGAGCGTCGAGAGGTGCTCGAGGCACCCCCTGTCGAGTGCAGCGTGGCACAGCGCCGCGTCATCCGCTACCAGGTAGTCTACACACACCTTCCGTCAGCTGAAATCACGATGGATACGTAGAGAGCCAAGTACGTACGAAGCACAAAGCACCCACGCGTCTTCACCACCGGCGACTCCGCACTACCCCCGCCGCCCATACCACCCATCAGCACCGCACTCGTGCTCGCAAGGTCGAACGGCGGCGGAGGCGCGATCAGCCGGTTCACGACATTCATCACCGTCCTCATGCACACGTCCTCGAGGGACGCACCGGCGCTGTACATTGAACCATGCGTGAAACTGTCCGCGAAGTTGGCGGAGGACGACATGGACGGCCGTAAGGGCGATAGAGGCGGGTAGTGGTTCGAGTAATGCGCGGAGGCCCGGAGGGTATGGGTTATGCTGAGAGGTTGGGGTGAGGTTGCGTTTCTGGTGGAGAGAAGAGAGGACGTACCACAGACAAGCGGCGAGCTGGACGTCGACCGAACGTGATTTCGTGTAGGCAAGAATTTGGGCTAGTGGCAGTACATCTGAAAAGGTGTTCGAAAAAATGGTTAGCGTATCGTACATCGAAAGAGGGAGCAGAAAAAGAAAGATAAGTAGATGTACAACAGAACAATACGACCCGCAGGAGGTATCGCATATGAAGGGTCGTCGCAAAACCCCTGCCAATTAGATCACAGGTCAAGAGGTGGGAGAAAAGGCACGGTTCAACGGCGAGCATCCGGACACTTGGAGCAGACGAGGACCGTAGAAATTAAATAAATAGCCTTTCAATGTCCATGTGCCTGGATACGCGGAATGTACGACAGAGGATGGATGTGGGCATCGAGAGCGGAAAGGTGGAAAGGAGGGAAGGAGGGAAAAGAGAAGAGCAAATACGACACTCACAATCACGCTCCGAGGGCCCTTTCACCAGAAAGTTCGCAACGACGGCGTTCTCCCTCGCCAACGCTGCCAGCGCCGAGAGTACAGCTTCGACCAACTTACACTCGACATCAGCCTCCTTCAATACACACATTTCCGACCCCACTCACCTTGGCATCCTGCTCATTTTCCCCACCTCCGAGCAACACCAGCAACTGTCGCACAACCCACGGCGGAGGCACCGTCCCACTAAGCGTTGCCGTCTTCTCCCACCCGCGCCGGCTCTTGACCTCACGTTGACGGTCCGCAGGGGGTAACCACTCCGTCACCGTTCGTCGGTGAGCGGGTGTGCGTATCGTGTTGGCGAGCATTTGCGCTGTGGAGATGGAAATGGCTGTTGAGGATATTGGTGAGTGGGACGAGGTTGTTCCGGGAACAAGGAGCGGGAGGTAGATGTCGAGTGATTCGATCTGATGCATGTGCGTTACGTCGATTCAAAGAACACATGCAGCAGGAAAGAGACGCACCAAGAATATCTGATCGAGTGCCTGCTGCGCCTCGCTCCGAATCATAGACGTTTCTGGCCTCAAACCCCACAGCGACGGCCCCACTACCTCCGCCAACGATGATGCCAGCGTCCTTAGTGCTCTCGAGAACGCCGCACGCAGCCCAACCCCATCAGCCTTAGTAAACCTTGAAACAGCGTAGAGGAGGGCGTGATGTGTGTTTGCCCGGAGGAGGATGCCTAGGGCCTCTTCCGAGCCTGAGACGAATGGTAGGTGTCAGTGTCTTTAGATACTCAAAGTGGGACACACCGTACGACAATGAAGCGACGACGTGAGCAGCCTCTATGCGGAGGGCGTCCTGTGCCGATTTCGACGACGGCGACGGCGGAACATCGCTATTTGGGGGGTTGAGGCAATCGATCAGTCTATGAAAATGCGGCTCAATCTCTCTTTCTCGAGTTGGGCAAGGAATAATACGCACGTAGAGACGAAGAGTTCATCTTGGACGATTTGGACCTTCGCAAGGGGATTTCCAATGACGATATTCTTCGTTTTCTTGAGGCTGGCGACGGAAAAGGTGAGGATCGTCATCGATGATGGTGGTGGTAGAAAGGAAAACCATTTTGGCCTGGAGAAACCCACGGTCATAAGTTCGCACAGGGGCCGAATTGTTCCCAACTCCGCTTTTGGCCAGGACGATAAATGACAAAAGAAGCTGTATGTTGGGTGAGGACGTTTGAGAATTATCTTTTCAGCTGGTGGAGTGGTTGAGCAACGTCCCAGAGTTTGAGAAAATACATAAGAGATGGTTCCATTCGAAAAGTAGCAGTCGTGCAACTTCTCCCAAATCAAATGAGATATTGATTATACTCAAGAAAAAAAAAGCAATGAGTACAACTTCGCGAGCTATCCAAGGTCCAAAAAGATCTTTGTACGTTTCACGTTTCATTCGGCTGCTTTGTTGATCTCGTGTCTCAACCAGTGGAGGTCTACATCCGCCATTTCTGCATGCAGTTTCAAGAGATCGTCCTTGTCATTGGCAATTTGTTGATTTATTGCGCTAATTCACCATGAGAGGGTGGAATTGTTTAACTTAGGCACTTCAAAGGGTAAACGAGTACTTACTCTATCATGGGATTCGACAGGTTACTCCAAATATTTGGATATTGCACCTTGACCGCCTGGAGCACACGAGCCCGATAAATATCTTCAGGGTATATTGGGAGAGGGCCGTTAAGGATCGATTGGTCTACGGCGCCATAGAAGAAGTGCGTGAACGCGAGAAATGCATCTCGGTTTCCAGACTCATCGAGGAAAGTCCGCATCTTCGTCCACTCGCTAATACGGTGGTCTTTTTTGAAGGCATGCTCTTTCGAATTCATGTCCATCGGGTGTCCGGGCATGATCAGCTGGAAACTACCCCTGAATCGGAATGGGGCAAGGCAATTTATGGGAACATCGGGAGAGGCGATCGCGTCAAAAGCTGCCCTGGAGGTTGGGTTGAGGTAGATGTAGATGCGTGCCTCCAGCTTGTCTTGCGGTCGTGAGGGCTCGCCAGGGCGGTCGAGCATGCTCAGCGCGATGGCAATGCGTAGCTTCAGCATGAATTCTGCGTTCTTCTTCAATCTTTGGGCCATCTTCAGCATTACCCGTCGTTGCGGATAACCGGATGTGCAGGTGGGTTTATGATTAGGCCTGACCAGGAGCACCGTTGCAGTGTGAATTGTACGAATTTGGAGGCGCTCTCACCAATCTTCCTTTTGACACTTAAAGGGATAGCATATTTCAGAAAAGGGTGTGTAACCGGGCGTAATCGAATGAATCACCTCTCGCGAGCAGTAGAATGCCCCTTGACACTAGAGCCTGGAGCTTGCACAGTGAGTAATGAATCAGGCGTAATTGTGTCCCTGCCATACATTTTCACATACACGAAGGCGATACGCCTTTTTGCCCTTCATCTTTGGGCAGGAGAGATTATTACATCGCACAGTCCCGCTGCCGTTGAGGTGATCGCGAACCAGAGACCCGTCAGCGATTGGGTCCTCGTCGTCAGGATATGACGCCTCTATCTGTGACATGAAATGCCGTTGAATTATAGATAGAGACAGATCTTCAGGGTATAGACGCGTCTGGCAGGATTTCGACCGCGAAAGGTGTTGGAAAAAGTAAACAGTGCAGAGGGGCTGCATGGTCCGTCCTGGAAATAATTCAATCGGAGTTTTGATGATTATGTAAATTCGCAGTTCTGCCCCTATGTCCAACTCTCACCTTACACCGTTTCCTTGTTCATCTGCCATCAACCCGGATGGCCTGAACGCTGAGCGCTGAGCATTTGACCCAGACCAAGACCTTAATGTCTCCATTCCACCAGAAACTTGACGCCAAGCCTCCTTGTCCTCTCCCGCTCTGGTCCATGAGCGCACAGAACAAGCTCCTCCAGCTCGTGCTCCAGTAGCCCATTTCGCCGTTTTTCCCCTTCTCTAGACCCAAAGGGAGGAACCAAAGAGAGGAACTTTGAGAAACATCGAGTGTATTCCGAGTTCGCCAAAGGATCTCCTCTAACCACTGTTTTTGAGGCCGAGATCAAGTGCGTCTGCCCATGGACCAAGTGCGCTCAGGACGATAGCACGCCGGCATCGGAGCTCCCTTTGTCACCTTCAAGACCGTATTCGATGACCTGGTTCTTGTGCTCTGGATTGTCGGGATAGTATTGATCTAGACTGGTGTTCAGCGAGAGGATGATACGAAGCAGCTCGTTCGGTAGGTTAGCGATCGCCGACGGTTCGACGTGCTTGTGTCAGCACGGGTGAACTATGGAGAAGCAAAATAGCAGGAAGGTAGGAATGCGGGAGAGTTGTTTATAGGTGGAAGAAATTTGGCGGTCAGTGTTGTGTTAACGTCATGTGAAGCGAGGTCTTACTTTCTCCTGAAAGTGGTACACGGAAATGATCGCTCACGAAATAGTAATAATATTAAATCGCCTGGAAATGCCGCCGCAGCGCGATACAGTTGTAAGAGGGCTTTCAAGCGAAGTAATGCACCGACTCCTTCCTGGGCCGACGGAATGAGGGAAGGCTGTGATAGGGATATGAGCAAGTCTGGCGTTCTTCAAGTTCGCCGTCAACCTAGAGGACTTCCCTTAGCTCAAAGGCGAGGCCGACGCTGTCCGAGGCAACAACGACGTGGGCTGGACGGAATGGGCACGAGCACCGAGGCTGGAGGCGACGTGTGGAGAACAGAGGGCGGGCAATGGATAGATGAACTTGGGTGGTGGTAAGCAGGGTACTCTGTCCACGAATACGCAGGCCACTCACCATCTCGAGTCCAAACGACAATTCTCGTCTTCTGGACGTTCGGTCTGTCGCCTACAGACTTCTTCGACCATCTTGCACCGTCTTGCACCTTGGATTCTCATAAAGAATACGAGGAATCGGCGCGACGATCGTCGACCAAAGAGTTATATTAGATCATCCAGACGAAGACGAGATGCTATGGGCAACGTCGGTACTTGTCTCTAGGCACACAGGCATAATTCTTTCATCTTCGGGCATGCAGGAGCGCCTCCCGCCACTGCCATCGGGATTGGGTTGGGTTATGAAGAATCTGCGAGTAATGGGTGAGGCGCCGAGTCGGTGATGGACGATGGATAATCGGGTCACTGACCTCAAGTTGCTGCAGTCGTCGCCTGGACGAAAGCACTCGGTATCTCTCTGACTCTTAGAGAGGCCGCCCCCTATTATTCATCGACGTCTGTTTGTAGAGGGCGAAACGTGAGTAAAATCGATCTCTGTGGCCTGGCCTCACTATTGACTATCGCGTCGCCTCTTGGCCTCGTAGACTGTCCACGTCGCTAAAGACGACTCTGAGTGATTTGGATGACGAAGGAAGCGAGGGTGGGTGGTCGTGAGATGGGATGCTGAGGTGCCGGGTGGGTCTCGGTAAGAATGTGGCTACCTGACCACTCTCTAGACTCTTCCTTAGTGACATCGGAATCATAACGTCGTCCAAAGTGGCGGAAGATGATCGAGGTGACGGCTGCGAGGAAGATGAGCAACCGCGGATGTCGTTCAGAATGATCACAAACTCACCTCCAGCTTAGCGAGCACCACTATGCACGCGTCCTCTGGCTCCGTCCACGACATCTACAATCCTCTCAACGGCACACGAGAGCTCAGCGGCAGACATCGTCGGGTGAACGAGTACGCGTCACTAGGAGGAGACCGAGACTCGTACGCCCAAGCACCGGCCCCGCACACGCCCTTCGTGGTCTCCAGCCATAGTAATGGAAGGAATGATGAGATACGTTGGCTCTTGTGCTATACACGAAAGTAAATCGTCTATTTCGTGGTCGAATGCACCCAACGCTCACCTTCTCTACTAGGACTCAACCGATAAGTATACCGTTGACAACTTCAAATTTAGCGGGTCGAGGCGGGTCGTGGTTGATTTTGGTGAATATATTCGCGAGCTACACGCTCTTACGCTAGGAGATGTTGTGTAGGAATGAAAACGAGATTCGGCATCGTGGTGAGAGGCAAGATGTATACCCGGACCGGCTTCCCCGTGAGGATACACGATAGGTTTAAACAGTCTCGTGGCCGGTGAAAACAAGAGCTCAATGCAAGCTCAAGCTCAATTTCGAGTTCAAGATCATTAGTTATTGTATATACGTCTATTTAATACACAACTGCCTCAATCATCCGGACGAAGCGAAGGCAAGAAGTTGATGGCGTGCATCCTCAAAAATGTCGGACGGAAAGCTAACACGAAAAATTAGTTCCAATCCCATAAATCAAAGAGAACAACCAACGTACGAGGACGTTCAGGGTTCAGAAAGACATCCTGGCAATCTTGGTCTATCAACAGCATTTAAATCAACCCGAAGAACGCGAGATGAGGAGTAGAAGTGAACTTACCTGCAGCTTGCTCTTCCCAAAACCTGTCTAAATCCTCCAAGGATTCCTCGAACTTCTCCTCCCACTTCCTCAGAGCCTCGGCCCCGGCCTCGCTATTCTCAGCATTGTTGTTCGCCACACCATTTGCTGCCACGTTCTCATCGACTGTTTCAGCGTTTGCGGTAGTGTCGTTAGTATCCGTCCTTGGTTCGTAGTTGACGAACAACCCCGTGTCTGAGAGCGTGATGTACGAGACGCTACTCAAACAGACAGGGTCCATCAAATCTTTCACGCGGGCGATGCGGATCGCTGGAGGCGTGTCGAACGATTTCTGGGCTCGCGGGAAGCAAGGGAGAGTAATCACGAAGATGGCGTTCGTCTACACGAGTATCAGAAAGTAGAAGGGCAAAAGAGGAAAGTGAGAACGAACTGTGACAACCGCAATCCTCCCTTCGCCTCCATCACCCCAGAGATACGCCATGGTCATGCTTTCTCCCAACCGTGGAGAGCCGAGACGAATTTCCAGAGTCGCGTTATGCAGGGCTTCTTCTTTCTCATGCGGACTTGCTGCATGGTTTTCGTGGAGTAACTTCTCAAAATGTGGCACAACGATTAGACGGCTGCCAGACAGCAGAGCGGCGAAGTGCGATCCACCAGGAGACGAGTGAACTATTTAATAGATAATTCAATGTCGAGGAAGACGAAGGAACGAGAAAGAGAAAACTTACCTTCAATAAATGATTCATCTACATTCCGCTTCCGTGGCTCACATTCCCTCTGCTCCGTGTCGAGATCGTAATGGACAAGCGCCGAACCTTCCTCCCATAGCCCACTACGTGGCTTGACCGCGTACCGCCACCTCCCGAAATGCATTTTGAAAGACGGAATCTCGAGCACCAGCTCTCCTGGGTGGGCAGTCTCGTCATCCGCATTCGGAGAGGACGTTCCAGAAAGGTCGCGTAGCTCGGGCACGGCTCGCGCAAACACCTTTAGAAGATGCCTTCCCATTAAGAACACATGCTCGTCGGTGTGCTCAACCTCCTCCACCGGACCGAAAAACAACTCAGCAGATGGCGGCGGTGGCGACTCGTTCTCGTCTTGAGGCAAAGGCTGTAATATCACAAGGAACCCCGGTACACCGTTGAAGATGCCCTGCTGAATCGCCACCGGGTCTTCCAATTCCAGCTGCGGCATGGGTTCAACTACTGGTGCGGGGTGCTCATCGCCCAAGTCCGTCTTCTCCTGGAGGTTCTCGATGACCTCGACCACACGCCCTGTGCACACGTCCCAAACATATGCGCGCTCCTTTGCTGACGTGACAAGAGTTGGGTAGACGAATTTGAACGCGTTTACGGGCTCTGGAACGTGCAAGAGGGCATGTGGCTCGAATGCCACGCGGAGGTTGTCGACCATGTCCTGGTCGACTGACCGAGGGTAATTGTACTGGGTATTTACAGCCCCGGCCACACCCCACCGCGATTCCTGGATCTGTTGCTCGTCTGGGGCTGAATTTGGATCGAGCTCGATCTCTGGAGGAGGCGGGCCAAGCTCTTGAAGGCGCCAGACTTCGTACGTATCTTCAGAACGTTCCAGGACGAAGAAGCCATCGGAATATTCAAACCCGACACATTCAGCAACATGCCACTGAGAAATATTAGTTGAGAAACAAAAGGAAGGAATTTGAAGGCGCACCCCACGTAAGCCCCATAAAATATCACCTGTATCAATGTCCAGGAGATGGAGACCTCGCTCCCGGCAAGTGACCAGTGCGAACCCCCTGTCCTCATCGACTGCCACATGATACGGCGTCATGATGCTTGGCCCTCTCGGGAGCTTCATCTTGATATGGCTCACCGTCGACGGTGCGAGGCCCTTCCAAGCATCCCCTACGCGAATCCTTCGCTTGCCTGGAGGACGGCGGCGGCGTTGTTAGTCATTGAGCCACCCTAAGCAATTGCCAGCGCACTCACAGAGCTCCACCCAGTCAAGTTCGTCTTCCGGTACGACTCTGTACGAGTAATCCCATTTCACGGCGTCGATGTCGAGAACGGGTGTTCGTTGGTCGGTGAATCCATGAAAGAACGCGGCTTGGTTGTATATGACGGCCTCATGGGTAACGAAAAACTCTTGCCATTCGCATGATGCTGCGCGAATGGAGGCGAGACTCGATAATGGTAGAAAGGAGAGGACGTGAAGGACAAGTTCTGCTGGAAGTGGGTCCAGGAGCATGGTGGTCAAGATGAAAGGCAACTGTTGTTCGATTTCGTAAACTTCAAGTTGGAAGACGAGAATCTTATCTTATCTTATCTCGCCTGAAATTGGGAGAAATCCGAAAATGAATGCCAGCATTTCAACGAGTTGTCTTTCAGGCGGCCTATCCATGCATCGCGGACCCTCGAAAGCTCACACCAATAGCTCGGGGAATCGTACACTCAATAGTCGGTTCGGAACACGCCACAAGGACAATTATCTCGAAGGACGAACTTTCACCATCGCCAACACGTGTACGAGTTGCAGTACGAACACCTCAGGTACGTTGGGATTTCTTGTTGAAATGGCAAATCCTACCGTGCACCTTTCATTTAAATCTTGGGTTAGGTTCTAAAATACTACCTGTCGAAATCAGGATACTTCACTCAGACCGACTCGAACGGCATCAAACAAGATAAAGCATCGCATTGGCGGCGAATTCGCTTGCGAAGCAGTAATGACCTCAAATATTCTTTAACACATTACACGCTTCTCCCGACGGCAGACGATTCTTGATCATGAAGATCGGTTATAAGCTGCAGGCACCCCAGTATTCTTCGCTTAACTGCATTTGCTTCGAAGATGCTGCGGATTTGGGTCTCTCACCTCTCTGCTGCGCTTGTGGCCTTAACCAGCTTCGTGTTTTCTCGACGGAGAGGGCCTCTACCCCCTGGCCCATTTCGCTGGCCGCTTATTGGAAACAGTCTGGACTTGTGGTGCAAGCACCCCTGGAAGGTCTATGCTCGTTGGGCACAGGAATACCGTACGTCTTTCCCCTTCTCCTCGTCAGCTATCTCAATGACGACTTCCAGTTCCGACATTCTGTCTCTACAGATTCCTGGTGCGACCGTCGTCATCCTCAATAAAGAACACGCCGTCCAAGATCTGTTCGTGAAGCGCGGTCTCATCTACTCCGATAGGCCATACACGGCCTTTTTCGAGAAGTAGGCGAGATTTGAGTTGATGTGTCTTTTATTCTCAACGTTTGTCTTAGACTGGGAATTTCACGAATCTTCGTCTTCCAGGACTATGGCGCAAGGTGGAAAAGTGTGTTGACCAGCCCTCTCTCGTCTCTCGTCTCATGCTCACTCCCCTCCGTATCCAGATAACCGCAAAACGTTCAAACAATACTTGGGTACTGAGACGGAGTCTTTGCTTCGATCTAACGAGCTTTTGTCATCTCGTCGGCTTCTCGTTTCCCTCTTGGAGAGCAACGACCACCAAATGGAATTTCGCCAGTGAGTTCCACCTTTTCCCACCTTCCCTTATGAATCTTACCTCTAAGAACTAATTCCTAGGGCAGTCAATGATTTCTTTCTTTCTGCGACGTATGGTATTCCTCCTAGTCAGCAAAATGAGCATGTCGCTCTCACGCAAGAAAGCGCTGTCCTCCTCAAGCGCCTTATGATTCAAGGCCTCGTCTGTGCGTCATTGCTTTATGACTCATACGCTACTGTCCTGATCCTCTGCCTCAGTCGATTTTTCGCCATTCCTCACGTCTCTTCCAGCATGGTTTACTGCTGTTGGAGTCACTCGTGGAGTGGGGGTAGTTGGTGAGCTGGTTGATAAGATGATGCGGACCCCATTCGAATCTGCAAAAGCCGACTCGGTCAGAGTTTTCTTATTCAATACTAGTATACAATTTTCTTACCTTCGCATTTTTTGCAGATCCAAGGAATGCACAGAGTTTTGATAGCTGGGCGTTTCTTCAGGCTCGACGAAGAATTATCCAACGTCACTAACGATGAAGAAACCAGCATGATCGACGTCCTCGGGACCTCCTACGCCGCGGGGACCGACACGGTTGTCGCTCTTATAAACTCATTCGCGCTCGCCATGGTCCTGTACCCAGACGTCCAACAAAAGGCTTACGAAATTCTCAACTCCACGCTCCGCTGACGACTCCCAGAGCTTAAAGTCTACAGCACCATTCCATACGTCGATGCCCTCGTCCACGAGGTCGTGCGCTGGAACCCCCTCATGAATCATGGCTTCTGTAATGCCAGGGCGAAGAGAGAATCGACACTTGAAATGATGCGCGGAGCTGACGATCTCGCTCGTATACTCTATCGTGGAGCGGTCGAGCAGTTTTCCATCCTTATCTCTCGCGTCAATTAACTCATAGGCGCTGAGCACGGAAGCGAACAAATCCACGCGAATTCTCGTGCAATATCTCGTAAAAGTCAGCCTCGGTCACACTTATACATTGGGTGGGGCAAGAGGAACTTACTTTCAGCGGGACGAATTCGACGACCAAACCCAAAAGCCGCATCTGTCTTTGCTCGAATCTCATCAAGAGTTCCGTCGCCGTTCAAGAATCTCTCCGGAATGAATTCATCCACGTTGGGGCCATAGCGTTCTTCGTCATGAAGAATATTCCACGTGCTGGCGATACAGATGGAACCTTTCGGAAGAATGTATCCTTTGTACATGTCGTCCTGCCTGAGGACGTGTGGCACGCCAAGCAGCGCGATGGGGTTAGGCCTTCGGATTGAGGCAAGTATTTCAAGTTTGGGACTATTCCTTCGCAATCGTAAATTGAAGTCTTGGTGAGTCCTCTTCGACAATTCGGACTAGAAGCTCAGTATGGTCTACTAGTATGTTATATAAAATTCTTTAGCCGACCTTTCGTGGTCCGATGGCCTGCACTTCGGTGATTCGTGAGGAACGTCAGTCAACTGTAGCTACGTCAACGACGATATGTAAGTAGAGACAATGAATCGAAAGATTAAGATTCGGACGGAAAGTATGACAATGGACTAGGCAGATCTCGAGGTACAAGTCCGCTTATAGATAGCAGACGTCAGCCTTCGAACGCTATCTGTAAGGGCAATCAAAACTTGGTACTCACAGCAATATACCTTTGGATCGCCTCCGCAACGTCTAGAACCCATTCCACTCCACGGTTCAATAGGGTTGAATACTTGAGGTGGAATTCAGCTTGATGGACGTACGAAATAAGTTCATCTGATTTGCAGGCGTCATCGAGGAAGAAGGTAAGATTTTCCGAGGCGATTTCTCGCATTTCCTTGAAAGGGGCATCGTTTCCTTTCTTCGGCGGGTCCGTAATGTGTCTAGGCAACGCGGTAAAATGCTGTAGCCGTAAAGGCTCCAAAAACGGACGCACTGGTAGCCATCCTCGCAAAGATACTTCAGACACAGCTTGGCTGCATGTGCGTACCGCGCCTCCGTAGGATACGTATCGCCGAATGTGGCCCTGTCAGCGAGGTGTTCTCGAAGCTTGATGTATGCATCGATGCTATCAGGCTCCCAGACAATATTCCAGAATCCAATACGTCCTTCCTTGGATATTCTCTTCGTGATCTTATTTATCGGTGTACGGCGTCTTTCCCATTCGTAGTGCGGCCCAAAGAGATACTCGCAGACGATGAGGTGATAAATCGTCTCGAGGAGATACAGCTCGCAGATGGGATTGCGCCGTTTTAGGGCTGAAATCTCAGGAGATGCATCCACGGCACTCTTGTGGTGCTGGAAAAGCTCCGGCGCAGCTTTCTTCTCTCCCTAAGAACAACGTTTAGTTAGCCATAAAGAAGGGAAACAGAAGCTCTCACCATTTCGTGCAGCAGAGTCATGAATTTAATCAGCATAACGCGAAATGGCATTTTAGAGAGAAAGCCTCGGGACTTGCGAAGGCTCCATGTGTATATGTCGAGTAGCGATAGGTGCAAGATAGCTTCCTTGAGTCGAGGTGTAAGTTTCGCGTCAGCTAAATGTGTGGTGAGGAATGTATAGGCGAAACGGGTTGCCTCATCATCTGAAGTGAATTGTCAACGTTCAGCAAATTCGGGAAGTAAATGGTAGGCGCTCACGCGTTCTTCTATCGAGTTGAATCAGCAATTTCCTGCTTAATCGCTCATAGAAGAGCTCCTTATTGATGTGATAGACCTTCGAACGTCGCTCGTCAAGTAGATAGTCTGCCAACGAGGCGTGCAGGACGCCGATTTTGCCATCTTCCGAGCAATGAATAATGGAAGCTAGATCCAAGAGTCGTAACGTAACCTCTCCTTCCTCAAGTTCGAGAAGGATTTCGATTCCTCGCGTATTCTTCGCAAATTGAAATTCGGAGTCGTGCGCTCGAATGCCTTCTACTGTCTTGGAACCTTTTCCTGCTTTGGCCAAAACGAGGATGCCGAGAATATTCAGGACTGTCTTCACGTCGCCCTCCTCGACGCAGGAAAGAAGGTGGGAGTATAAGGCGTCGAGGTCTGCGAATGGCATATCCTTGTCATTTGGAGCTGGGATGATGCCGAGGATAACCTTCAGGCGTTCCGTTGGCTTGTGGCGCATGGACGAAACATAGTTTGCGACGATCGATGCGTAGATGAACTGTCTTGACGATTTATTGACAAGGACATCCACGACGTTGCTTCCAGGCCAGTTGTCAGGTATCATATTCCTCAACTTGTGGCGCGTCTTGATGTCGGTGAAGGTGCTGTCGAGGAATTGGCGAATATCTTTGTCTGACTCGAAGTTCTCATGGAGATCGAAACGTTCCATCTTCGGCCATGGAGGATCGTCTCGGCTCTCGAAAACCTGGGTGATTGCTTGCTCGGGTCTACTGCAGATCAGGAAGATGACGGGGATGTCGGGATAACGACGAAAGAGTTTGAAAATGACGTCTAGTATCGCGGTTTGGGCACCCTCACCCTCACATTCGTCGATGCCGTCGATGATAACAAGAGGAGGAATACGATTCTGGCAGTCTGGAGACGAGAGAAATTGAAGGAGCGGCTGTGCCAGGAGAACGGATATTTGGGTTTCCATGTTCTGCTCAAAAATCATTGGATTTTGCTCTATCGCCTTCTCGACGAGAACGAGAATATCTGGAATCGCTAGAACAGCCTGGTAAACGAGAGTAGCGATGAGAGCTATGTGGTTATTCCTCCTCGAATCCGTGCGTGAGAAGGCGAAACTCGCGAGCAAGAGCTTTCTTGCGAAGCATAACTCAGCGAGAGTTTGTGCGATGGCGGACTTCCCAGCGCCCGCGGGACCGTGAAGCCATATAACAAAGGTTCCTGTCTTGGTCTTTCGAGATGCCCAGTCGATGAAGAGATCCAAGATCGCCTTTCGTGTCTTCTCGTGGCACCGAGGGGGATCAAACCGCTCGCCAGAGTTGTGAAGCGCACTAGGGCATGACGCCATCCGAAGCCGTTCGAACCCTGTAGATGCGTTTCACGACCGATCAGACAATCTTCAAGTACATAACGAAATGGAGGTCTGCTCGTACCTCGAGTTCCTGCATGGTAGTGGTTCTCGTTTATCTGATTGAATGTACCGCCATTGATTGTTACGTTTTTGCCTCGGTAGAACATGCAGTGGACCTAAGAGACATCCACAGGTACGTATGGCTGAGCAGAAAGAACGAGGTCAGGTTGGTGTTGGCGTTGGCACAAGCTTGTGGGTCCAACTCAACTGACCATGAGGCAAAGTGAGATTTGACCGCTCTGGGGAATCGACGGCCCGGAATATAAAGGGGTGGGAATATCTTGCCCGCACAATAAGCGCCGGACAGCATAGCAGTACCGATGTTCAATATCTAGAAGATATAAGGTAAATAAATATTGAGAACATACACACGAATATAATAGCTCTATCTATGCCAGGTTTCAGTGTGATTATTTCCCTACAATTGAAGGGCACCCAAAGCACGAGGGGAAGGACAACAGCGAGGAGGGCGAAGACAATCGGCAAAGCACAAATGAAAAGTGGCTCATGAAAGCCTATAATGATAAGAAACATAAGACAGAGAATAGCGATGATCCCTCCGCAGAAGCATATAAACCCTGATGAAATCTTCTGTAAGGCCATGCAAAGTCGTCGCATTCAGAGACTTACAATGATGCACGAAGGCACCCCACTTGTTGCCTACCCCGAAAGTTCTGAGGAGGGATGCTTCGAATTCTTCATGCATGCCTATAGCCTCTGTTTGGACGTTATTTGAACTACGGGCAGAATTATAGGTAAGTGCCCCCATTCTGTCGACGATGATAAAGGTGCTGATCGCGGCTCAAATTTGGATGGCGAGTTTAGGATATTACGGGCCAAATCAATCTAACAATACGGGCTGTATGCATTACTTAGAACATGAAAATGTGTGGGCAAGTCGGCTCATACGAACAATTTACCCCCTGGGGGCACGATCGAAGGCGTACCTCGAGGAGTAGGGGACGAATTCATGACACTTGAACGTCAAGGAGGCTACCAGAGACTACATTGTCAGATTTCTCACGTGCTGGAATCAGGGATCAGGCCTCAGGATGGGATCCATATCTCTTTCCACCCAACGAACGTTACTCAGAGAAACTTTCGGCAGATTTCGGCACAGTTCGGCATTTGCCGTGGAGCGATCAACAACAGGTGCTAAACAAATTACGCGTCCCTCAATGTTGTTGCTAACCATTACGAGTACCATCTCACAGAGCACGAGGCGCCGGTTCTTCTCCACGACAATGACGACCATTTACGAATATGCGAGACCCTTCCATCTCTGACGACCTGCAAGTCGACAAGTCCACGCAAAATTCAAATCTACCTTATCTGCTACCAAAAGGTCTGAACACGAGATTGACCACCGCTTCACGGCGTCTCAAAGTCATTTAGCGAATGCCAGTTCCTTGAATGATACATTTCGGTAAGTAGAACTGAAAATCCTGGGTCGTACACTCGTTGTATACCTGACATAAATCTTGATAGTGATCTCCGGTTTGCCCTTCCCAGGTCTCTCACTCGTAAACACGACGCTCAAAGCACGGACTCTCCTCGCCGCCATGGGATGGAATTCATGCATGAAGACGGGTGGACTCGACCACGAGACGCGTTCCTGGCCCAGGAACACGTCGATGCATACCAGCCCGGAGCAACGTCGTCGCGGTTTTCGTCGGTCCGAGGCGCTCTGGCAGACAGTCTCTCGGGAGAGGTGCGTCTATTTCACAATTTATGTGGTCAGGCCTGAAAATTAATGCAGGCCAAGGAAGTGATAAAGGTCGACTGTTATCACTTTGGGAGATTTCGAGTGCATTCAGGAACGAGGGACTTTCGGACGTCATTTTTGGATGAGGTTTAAAGGCGGGCAACAAGTGAGCGGTTCTCCCCAGAGCCTCTTCTCGCCATTCTCTTACACGTCCAATTCTTCAGCGATATTCGAAATGCACCACCACCTTGTGGTCCTCTCCTCACTCGCCGTTACTCTCGCGCCATTCGTACGAGCGACGCGTCATTACTCTATCGTGAACAATTGCCCACTCAGCATCAACCTATACATCAACGGCGAATCTCAGGTGTGTTCTCAAGTTGCTTCCTCTGCCTGACTCCACGGGCTAACTAGTCTTCGTCGTATTTGTACGCGCAGGGCTCTCTTGCTAGCCAGGCCGTGACGACGCGCGATTTCGCCGACGGATTCAGTGGTTTTATCTACACTGATTTCAATCGCGGGAATGTGGATGGCGCAGGCACGGTTAGAGCGGGTTTCTTCGGAGACGTGAGTATCCGCATCCCTCGGATCCCATACTATCTCTACGTTTTGACAGATATGGGTTAGAGCTAACGTTTGTCTCTTACAGGCGGGGTACTACTATATTGTGAAAGATACCAACTGGCTCAACGTCGGTGTAGGTATTACTCCAATCAACCGAGCTCCAGTAAATTATCGCCGCAATACTTTTCCTCCTTCGTTATTGACCCTTCATTATCTTCAGAAAGGCGGCTTCTGCCTTCAGACCAACTGCGAAGTGTTCAACTGCCCGGACGCCTTCACCTCTCCACCAACCGCCTTCCCACCACCCGTGGGTGGCGTTCCTCCTGCCTCGCCGTTGTACGAGTGCCCCGTGGCTGATACGGGCTATACCGTCACGTAAGTGCTATTGGTTGACATCTCACTCTGGCTCGAGTTCAATCCGTTTCTCCGTAGGTTCTGCCCCGCCGGTACGATCCCGAACTACCAAACTGGACCCAATCACATCCAACCTATTAAGTCGAACACCAAGTGCCTTACCGTGGCTCCTCCCATCCAGAATGGTTCTCCTGTCAGCATGTACGTCTTCGCGTCTTCCCAATATGCCGAGGTATCGGATCATTGACGTTGTTCGCCCTCTTCATCAGCCATGACTGCGACGGCTCCGGAGCACAGCGATGGGTCATCAAGCGCGGCGGGCAGCAAATCAAGCTCTCGGGAACTAATTGGTGTCTCGACGCGGGCTCTAGTGTGTATTGTCCTCCCTTCCTCGTTGCTCCTTTCGTTCATCAAATTTATTCTCTCTGTCACGGTGCTATAGACCCTGCAAGCGGCGTTGGCGCGAAAGTCTGGCAGTGTTTCGACAATCTTCCGGCCCAGTGGTGGGTCTACACACCCGACAACTATATTAGAAACAACCGAGGTGTGTTCATCCGTGTTTCTCATCCTTTCGCCGTGTCTGACCTTCGTTTCCAGCCCACTCGCGCGGTTTCTGCTTGGACCTCACCGACGGCGATCTTACGAATGGCCGCCAGACTCAGATATGGGAGTGTGCGTCTGGCAACCAGAATCAAATCTGGACGATCTAGTCGGGTTCATGATTTCATCTTTCATGAGCGTGGTACACTCGCTCCTTTTGGATATCACTTCAACTTTCAACTTGGACGTTTCTTTAATATTGGACATTTTCGTCATACGATTTAGGTTTTGGAATTGATCTTGCCTCTTCATTCTCTTGGACAGGAGCAGTATTTACTCCAATATGATATCTCAGTACCTACGGCGACTTGTCCCCGGAGATCCGGGCCGACTGCCACGAATTAAAATTCTGGGCTCGTTACTTATGCGGGTGGTAGATAGCGATAGCGATACTGAGTTTGAATTTGCTTATGTCATTTTCTCACACTGCATTCCCTTCGCCGCAGAACGCATTGCTCGACGCATTATGCCAATCTGGCACCGAGAAATTTTGGAGGAAGAAAAATATGTTTGAAAGCTATGCAGTGTATTTGTTCTCTGAAGTCCAACAATGTTGGAATGAGGCTGCAAATTGGAGAAAGTGTAGGATGATTTTTTATCCTCTACACTACCTTCTGAGTTGAGTCGAGGCTTGTTACGTTGTAGAGAAGTATGCCCAGCCATTGTGAGCACATATACTTAATTTCTCTATCCAGGGATACGTAGGACGTGAACAATCGCCAACAGTCTCCGAACGGCCGGGAATTGCCGAGAAACCACTGAAAATCCATCTTATCAGCAGATCCACACACGGATTCATCTTATCGAGTATGAGAATCTAAACGAGTATCGAGCCTCTAGCCAATGGAAATGCTCAGAAACCGGCGGGAAATTACGCTAAGCGAGTATCGCGTTTGACAGCCCACCTGCTTTGGCAAAATTAGCCTCGAAAACCCTTTCCTGCATGCCCCGCAGGGTTGCAAAATATTGGTAATCAGCCATCTACGGATGATCTCGATGCCTTTCACTCTGCTGTTGCCCATCATCCTTGCCCAGAGGAGGTATTGAACTTCTCCCCTTCTCCCTCTTTCCTTTTTCGATTTTCGATTTAATTTTTAATTTCTTTTTGAGTTTCCAGCAACATGCACCGGTATCGAGCCAAATTCTGAGACGTCACTAGACATTTCTTACTCTTACCTCCATCTTGCATCTGGGTCATATCCATTATGGCCTCTTCGTTGGCCCCCTTGCTGGAGGAACTCATTTTTGAGGTTATGATATACCTCGATAGCCCCTCCATTATCTGTATGGCCCTTGTATGCGAAACTTTTGCCTGTAAATGCGACGATTACTGATATTGGTGTTTTCGACCAGACTTGCCATTCATTCTATGATGTTTTCCAATCTAAGCCTATCCGTTACATCTACGAACTTGGCATGAACGATATTCGAGACACTGGGTCGAATAGGCCGCCTGATGAGCTCCTTGCTCTCCTTCATGATTGGCAGCGGGCATGGGCAGAACTCGACTGGAAGAGCATCGAGGTTGTGAAAATTCAAAGGAATCTAGGACCCTACAAACTCGTCGCAGGGACGTTTTCGCTGTCAGACGGTGATGTCCTTTCCGTTACCTATCTCCCATCCGCAAGTCAACCTGGCCATACCATCTCTCTGGATATCGAGCCGCGCAATTTCGCCATCGACGCGAGCCAGGATCTGATCATTCTGCTAGACACGTCAGCACACATGTCCTCGGCTTCTGGTTTGGAATTGGAACAAGGGACTGCTCCTCTTCGTATGTCCTTTGTCAACACCCGTTGATCCCCCTTCCATAACACCTCTCTGTCCAGGAGTATCATATTAACGCGTTACGGGACCGTTTCACTGGCTTCGACTTCCTGCGCCGAGACGCGTTCATCATCACTTCCTTGACCGCCAGCGGCGGCCTAATCCACGTCTACCAATTTTCACCTGTGGTGCCTGCAGCACCCATGCATATGGCCTCGCTTGGGCTTCCCTGGACTGCTCCATTATCCTTTGTGTCCATTCTACAGGTTCATTCTGGGCAATTTCATGTGGGTTTCAGACTTCCTTGCGATTCCTTCGGCCACTCACCTCTGCACTGGGTCCTATCTTTCCATCCGCCTCCACATCGTAATTCTGCCCACCGCCGACGCCAAAAGGGCCATCGATACAGATAAGATATGAGATAAGATCGGTTCATTCAGGGTGAATCTGACACCTCACCTCACCACAACCACGACCATCTTCCGCGTCAATGGCAGCTGTATCCCTGCTCGCTCTCCCCGCAGAGCTCGAATTAGAAATAATGAGCATTCTGGATGCTGGGCCTATGCTCTGCCTAGCACTGGTGAGCGAGTGTTCTTCCTTTGCGTTAATGTCCTCACATTTTCGTTGACAGTCTTGCAGGGCGTTTCAGGAGCTATTCAAGTCTCCCGCAATTCAGTATGCGTACGAGCTCCGTTTGACTGTTATGCAAGATAACGGCACCAACATACCTCTCGAGACACTACACTCGAGACTCCAGCGTCTGCGAAAGAGTTGGGAATGGCTGAATTGGACATTCGGTGGGACCGTGAAGCTACCAGGGATATTGGAAGCATACGAGTTAAGATCCGGCATATTCGCGAAGATTGATAGACCGGGAACTTTTCTTTCAATATGCGGCCTGTCATCTGCGACTCGAACGGGCCATCCGTGTTCTGTGCGTTCACTAGGATTCCGTGCTGACAAATTTGCCATCGACCCTAGTCAGGATTTAATTGCCATCCTGGAGGAAATGTGAGTGGTTCAAACGCCCATTTGTTGAGTTTTAAAGATTGGACTTTGAGCTAGTAGACTACCGAATGGAGAGAAGCATGTCCAAGTCCATGCCCGTCGCATTTCCACAGATGATATCCACCCGAACGCGAAAGTGGATGGCTTTCACTTGGACTTCGTCCAACGTCCCCATTGCCCCAACCAAATCCAGCTCGAAAATGACGTTGCCGTTGTCTTATCATCTGGGAGATTCTTCCTCTGGGATTGGTGAAAAGGGTTTCTTATCTACGTAAGTCCTTTTAGTCTCTATCTCTTACCATCCCCTAATACCCTGCAGGAACCCACCAGTCACGATTTCCCACCAGACGTCTACAATTTCGAAATGCTCAGCAAAGATGCATTCATTCTAATGTCTGTCTCTGGGCCAGGGAAAATACATGTCTGCAAATTTTCCCCAACGTGTCCGGCAACTCCGACTGTCGTGGCCACGCTCCTGTTGCCGCCGACTGCTTCATCCAAAGTTGATTTCTTCGTCACACATTCGGTACGGTTGCCAGAATGCCTAACACCAGGTACCCTGCTCATGCCTGTTCCTCATTCCCGTATACACGTCTTCACCGGTACAAGACCTACTCAGACAAGTCCTATTCGCTCTTTGTGCACAGTCGGGCGTTCCTTCGCTGCATACAGCGGGCTCACAACCAAACTCGAGTCGAAGAGATACCCTGGGACCATTGGGGCATACATGACACTCGGTTCACGGAGCATCGATCGCAAGTGGGCGCATCCAGGTAAAGCTCCTGTTCATCCGTCGAATCCCTTCTAACATGCTCCGGAAGCGCTTCGTATGGTTATCGCGTACTATGTAGGACACTCGATCACTTAGGGATCGACATCCTCAACTTTTCGGACGCGAACCCCTACATTGCCTGTCCGACACAAAGCAGGTTTGGCCCTGACAACCCCAGCGTTCTGCCACCTGGCGATATTTTTTTGGAGCCGGTCGTGACGCGTCTGCCATATCACCTGGTGGCGGATTACGAACCCATACCCCCGCTACGTGATCGATGAAGAGCGCGTTGTTGGGGTTAAGCATGTGGTAAGTCTTTGTCTCAGGGAATGATAGTAGATCGCGCTTATATAGGTCTGGAAGGTTGGCGGGACGCTATTGCAGATATTTTATATTTGATGAGCCACTGTGCGATGATTGAAGAGTAAGAAGGTGAATGATTCGTGAGTGAAGTCACCAGCTCCTCCTTCGCCTTGCCCCCATAAGTAATTGACATTTCGTCGTTTCGTCACAGGCGGCGTCTTCATTATTTTCTCTTGCTTGCAATACATTTCTCATGTAAAGGCCACAGGCCCCTGATTCTTTCTGTCCACGATAATTATGCCAGATCTTGTAGTGAATTCCAACTCTTAGGGCTTGGCCAATGGTAACTCAGACGGACAGACCGACGGACGCAAGGACAATTGCAAATTTAAGAACGGGATGCTCCTTGAAGTTAGAGCCAGTACCGACGCCAGAAGCACGAAATGGTGCCTGCAAGTGAAGAAACGAACTTCATTAAATAACGCAAAGTCGTGTACGTCGTGCACGTCAGAGAGGAGGTCTCGCCTGGTGGCTAGAAATTAAACGCACAACCCAAGGCGGTAAGCGCCTCCGCTCCATGGAGCACGATACACGGATATACGATGAACAAAGATTCCTTCCTTACCCGTCAGTTCTCCGGCTCGACTCTCGAGGACCACGGTTCCCTGAGACAGTCAGCTGCACGTACTTAGAATGAGCAGAAACACCATCGCCAGCACGAACGTATCGCCAAAAAGTACCCTCCGAGATTGAGCTCGAGAGTGAGGTGAGGCGGAGCAGCAGTACCCGGCCAACGTTGGACTTGATCGGAGCGAGCTGGAAACGCCGTGGCGTGTACGGTGTTCCTAAACCGCAAGCCTGCCCCTTTCGTCTCGGCCTCGCTTACAGCTTGATGGAGGGGGTCCGAGTGGTCAGGTGCCTCATCGGGCCGGCCTTGCCCACGACGCACAACCTTAGCGCTCGACGTCGCCGACGTCGTGCACAAGGGTAATAGAGCATTAGCACATAATATCTGTAATCATATGTGCTCAATTATATGTGCTAAATGGTAGACAAATATTCAGATTGTGACAGGTTCGAGGAATAAGGTAACAGCCTCCCGAGAGATGGCCAAACCGCACCCCAGACGAGAATCTCAAACGAGGTAGCGAACACGAGATCGGAGACGTGTCGGAGATAGACCCACCCAGAAAGCTAGTGCGAATTACTGCTGAGCTCGGGCCAGAATAATAGTGTGTGATCGTTATTGATTACGGTCTATTGACAAGTACAAGGTGTTAAGGGGACAGCTGCTCGATACCAAATCCTCATGTCCAAGAGATTCCCCGGAGATTTTTGGTGCTTTTTAAATAAATGGAAAGATGACCATTACTCATACTTATTGAAATATGTTTCGAATAAATATGCTCCCTGCGATAAACAGACGGCAGTCTGGCGTCAAGAATTGACCAAACTGACACCCCAAAAGTGTACAACTAAATTGCACACCTTAGGGCTAATTTAAATTAAAGATCTGACAGCCTCCGAGAACGGCAGAGATAGATTCAAGCTGATATGTGTCTTTGGGAAGAGCCGAGGCCCATTCTTGTGTTTCCCATGTCTTAATAGGCGCCCATCATAACAAGAAGTGCTCAAGCTGTACAGAGAAATCGTATGCCGCCATCTCTGGGGACAACTCATTAGTACATCTGCCATATACATAGAGATTGGCACTACCCCTACTGCTCACCCAGTGCATGGTATTTTGTCCTTGATGAGTGGCGAAGCGCCTCTGCCTCAGTTAGAGGAAATACCCTCTCGTGCCCCGTCTGCCTCGCTTCTCAGTCTTGTCTCTTGTCCTTCATTCTCGCTCTAATTCTTGTTGAAAGGCACCATAACCTCCGAGTCGTCTCAATTATCCATTGCTGGCCGCGTTCATCCATTATCCTTCGCCGTTTCACCACATCTCACACCATCACCCTCCCCTTCAGATTATACACGAGCTCTTAATTAATATTATAGAGCCACACAATGGCGGAACTCATCCTCGCACCTCAGAGTCACTTGGTGAATACTTTCCAATTTCCTATCCATTTACCACTCCACCAAGCCGACCGCCTGATGTGAGCGGCCGAAGAAACTGGAGTAAAAGTTGTTTGCTCCCCAGTATACCAAAAAAACGGACAGTGCGTATAGCACGTCCTCAAGCCTACGGAACAGCTCCTTTGCACATGTAATACAACATATATGGCATTGTAATTACCGAGAATATGTGCTAATGATCTATTACCCTTGTGCACGACGTCGGCGACGTCGAGCGCTAAGGTTGTGCGTCGTGGGCAAGGCCGGCCCGATGAGGCACCTGACCACTCGGACCCCCCTCCATCAAGCTGTAAGTGAGGCCGAGACGAAAGGGGCAGGCTTGCGGTTTAGGAACACCGTAGGCGTGTCAACGAGTGTCTGACATCGACGTTGAGATGAAAGCTCGTACCTTGCTGTCCTAGTCATTGCGTCGTCGGATGGGCGCCCTTCTTCAATGATAAAATACTTATGTAAGTATAGGTTTTCGCCGACGTCGAGAGCCAGGCTAAAAGAAATCTTTTTCTCTAAAAAATGGTCCGGGGTTGAACGTTGAGGCCTTGGAGCCCCGGAACAGCGATGCGTTTTCCTATTTGACTATTCCTTTGCCAGAGACTCTTGAGTCTTCCATTCCAAATATATACGAAGTGAGTGTGGCAAAGAGCGAGATAAAGACACGAAATCCAAGATCCCGAGCATGGCCTCGGGCGATCATAGAAAGGGGATTTGCGAGACGTGCACGTTAGCCACTGGCGATCCTCGTGCCGAACGTCGAGAATTCGAGCCGGTGCATCGTGTCAGGCCTAGGTGTTTAATTGAAGCATTAGGAAGGACGAAGGAGAAGGAAGGGGAAGGAAGGAAGAGAAACAAGAAAACGGCGCAGGAGCAAGGAATGCCGAGCACAGAGACGGGGGCGAACAACCAAGACAAGTTGAAGTTGAAGATACCAGAAGGGAGAAAGACGCGAACAAGGACCGAACTAAAGTTTGAGATAGTGATCCGTCCTCGAGCTCAGGCCTCAAGCTCAAGGTGTACGGAACCTCTCCTCATCGCTGAGACAACAAAATCGCGAGAACTGCGAAATAACTCAACATATCCGCGCATATATTCGTACTCATGAGGGATATCTATATCTAGAACAGGTGCGGGAGTCAGACATGAGGAAGCTAGTGAAGGATTCGTACGATTCACCTACGGCATATATTCATTCAAGCACAGCCTGTCTGCTAGGCGACCTGCACACTTCTTAGCCCTCTCGTGCACGTCTTTTGGGCGACAGTGGGTGGTTGCTTGGTAGGTGCTGGAGCTGGGGCTGGATCTTCCTTCATCTTCGTCGCGATGAGCCTTTCCACCTCGTTCTGCGCATACTGGTGTTGGAGCGTGGAAACCTCCTTGGAAATGAGCTCCCGAATGAGCACCTCGAGCTTATCGGTGTCAGCACCGAATTTGGAGAGTCCTTCGGGCACTTTATCGAGTGCGATACGTTCCTTCTCGAGGTCGGCGAGGAAGAGTGAGAGGGATTCGGGTGTTGGGCCGGTGGGTGTGAAGTACACGGGGCTGTCCGCCTTCACGGTAGATGAAGACGTCGACGACGACGGGGGCGCAGAGAAAGACGGGTAAGGCAGCACCTTCAGCCCGCCCAGCAGCTCCGGCGGCAACGTCACATAGTCCGGCCCGCCCTCTCTTCGAGTCCTCACTAGCTCCAGCACCTCCTCCGGCTTCCTAAAGCCCGCAGCCATGATCTGTGTCCGTCCCTCGTACCCTTCCTCCTTGTACATCTGCTTTATCTCGCGCACGAGCTTTATCCCAGGATGGTCCGCTAGATCCCTAACTTCTGCTGGACCATGGTTCGCGTCGAACCAGTCCTTCACCCGCCCGACGAACGGTGAGAGCACACGTATCCCCGCCTGGGCGCATGCCCTTGCCTGGACGGCGCCGAATATGAGGGTCATGTTGCTCTCTATCCCGTGCTGGGACTGCAGCGTGGCTGCGAGGCGCAGGCCGAGCGGTGTAGCGGGGAGCTTGAGCAGGATACGGGGCTTAGAACCAAGATGTTTCACCGCGAGTGCGTGTAGAGAGAGACACCGAGCCAGAATGCTGTGGTAACGATCGTCTTCTTGGGGTGAATGAGGCGGAAAAGCAGGCAGAAATAGGCGGGGGTCGAGCGAGAGCGAAACGCGCCTTGGGATGCGCGAGAGGACCTCAGCGCCGAGGAGGACGAGCTAGACGGTGGAAGAGGGGGAGGTCAGTGCGTGATCATTGATGCGTGGAGGGTTGAGAAAGTGGAAGAGGGAAGAGGGAAAGAAAGGGCGGCCGGCCAATGCCGAAGAGCAATTGATCGACGATGCCGACGATGACGAGAACAGAGGTCGGCTCGGGAACATCGTTGCCCGGTCCTCGACATACTTGCTCTTCCCCATCGCGGTCGTCGGTGGGCACTAGCTTCGATGTGCTATGCAGAACGCTTTCTGCGCTCAGCAGGCCCACGTAACACCCACTCTCCGACGGATCGAAGAACGGAAGAATGAAATAAACGACTCACCAGCCAATCCATCATCTTCTCCGTAATCTTCTCTATGCTGCCCTCCCCGTCCACGGCCAGTTCATCGACCGCCCGTCGAATTGCTTCTTCCAACAGCCACCTATATTCCGACCCCTCCTTGCTCACCGCAGCATACACGAGCGAAGGGTTGGATGTAGCATCTGTTGGTGAAAATTCTGGGATGCCTATGGGGCGACATCAGTTAGATGCAAGTGGAAGGGAAAAGGGAGAAGGGGGAAAGGTTAGCGTCAAATCCCACGTTAATTTGAGAGATAGGCGTTTAGAGTTGCGTCAAACAGGGTCGGGTGTGGGGTAAAGGCAGCGAGCGAGAGGTCAACGTCGTAGGTTGCAAGGGGACCCGGGCACCAGAAGGGGGAAAGGAGGGAAGAGGAAGGAAAGGCGGGAGGAAAGACGTACGATAGTATTCAGCCCCATCCGCCGCTATCACAATTCCCGACTCCCTCAGCGCGTCGAGCGCTGTCCTCGTCTCGCTTCCGTTGGCTTTAGTCGGCGACATCCTCCGCGTTTACACTTCGGTGGTTCTTCGTATCTTCGTGTTCTATGGTGTGTAGTCAATGGGAGAGATAGAAGAGCGCAGAGCAAGTATGCATCGAATTCTTCCAAGACCCTCGTTCTTATGCAGCTGAAAGGAACGATCACAATCAAACAGCCGGCGTTTGGCATTCCGTTGCTGACCTATGACGCCACGCTGATTCAGACTGCAGCAGCGCCACGCACGCGCAGCTCGATTTCGAAGCCCAATCGATTCCAAAGTCTCCTTTCGCACACGGCGAGCTCCCTTCGCTTCCATTCAATTCACTCGCGCCGCCTGGATTACAGCGAATTACCCGCCTCCGGACCTCGATGTGGGCAGGAGGATCACAAAGGCTCATTCAGCGATGCCGTATCCTCCCACATAGGCGGATACGAGGCTGCCGGCAGTTGGGAGGTGACGTGCATTCGCTGACTGAGATTAGCCAGGAAGGGTATGTGGCGCGCACGTTGGTCGTAACGGTCGATTAGTTTGCTTTAGTCTGTGGGTCTGTGGGAAGCACCTGAATCAACAAGCTCGACAAGAATCCATGCCGATTTCAAGGAGGCTCTTGAGGCCTTCAGGCTTCCGAGGCCGGCTGGCAGGCTGCAATCCCATGCATCCTTCAACGGATTTATAATCCCCCTCCAAACCCTCGTGCTCGCCCTCCCGAATGGCGCAATTCGCCTTCATTGGACAGAAGAGTGCAGGCCAAGCGCGAAGTCGCGGTGGTGTGAACAGCTGTGGGAGGGGAGATTGGTACCCGGACCCAGATAGGTCAATCGTATGGGTGGAATTCGACTTGGTGAAGGGGAAGGATATCGATCGAGGTGAAGGTGTGGAGATAACTTCGGACCGTGGGGTAAAAACGATCTAGCATAGTGAATAGGAGATGTTCCTGTAGCTGACTAGACACAACCGTATACTTCAGTCAAGCAGCGCTCAGCAAGTAGGAAGAGACCTATCATCTAATCGAGATTATCTTATCTTATCTATCGGCCAGGACAGACCCGATTGGCTGGAGCGCACCAACTGTAGGATGGATCAGACGGCGCGGGTCCCTCCGATTGCCGAATTTCCTTCTGCTCTCTCCCTAACTCTGGATCTAACGCTAACCCAGCTTCCCTCCCCCCAATCACAAGTTCCCTCTCGTGGTCTATTCATCCATAGATGACAGGCGACGTTTCAGCACCCTCGGCTCTCCTCTTCCTCGCGCTGCTCTAGGCCGTTTGTCTTTCTCCGAACGAACGAACGTGGCCAAAACACCCTCACCCATTCCCTTCCTTTCCGGAGCCAACTCGTCGGCTATTCTCCTGTGCTCTCCCTCTGTGGCGCGCTAGAATTTTTCCGGGCTTTCGAACTTGCGTGCGCTTGCTCTCTCATTTACCTAGGCTATTTCTTGCTAGGCTACGTACTCCGACTCTCACTTTTCGTGTTATTTCGTATCTTCGGGCGTTTGATGCTTCAAGTGGAACGTTTCTCGCTGCAGAGGCGCGGAGGAACATCGCTGTCAAGCTCCCTTTCGACTATAAAATTAGGATCCTTTTGATGAACGACTCCGAGGTCGGTTCTTTGTACTCTCATCGGTCCCAGAGCACGGCACCTTCCCAATGCCTCCTCAGTCGAGTGCCCATATTACACCAGTCAACGCTTTTCTGGGTCAAATAAACCACATTCGAGTCAAGACCCGACTGCCACACGTCCAGATCTACACTCCTCATCTGCTACTCGAGACACGTCTCCCTCCGCCCAGGACGCTTCTGTTTCCCTATACCCGCATTTCCGGGTCCCTTTGCTCCTCTCTTCTCCTCAGCAGCGACGGAATGCTCTGGTTCTCCATTCATAGCCTTCTCTTCGCTCGATTAACCACCCTCCTCAAGCGTCGTATACGGAGCTTCCACTCCAGCCCGTGGTACCACAAAATGTAGACGAGCGTGACCACCAGAACAAAGTAGTTCGATCCTTCAAGGAAGGCCCGCGAGATCGGACCATCTTCGATTGTTACCTCAAGGGTGACCATAACCACCAAATTAAATACGCCGACATAAGTGGATATTTCCCCTGTGGATCAACGTCGTAGAAGTAAGCTACTAGTCACTCGCACGTACGTCTGGGATCCAGAAACTCACATGCGTAGACGAGGGTCTTCCACCTCCATGTCCTTGTCTCGAATAGCAACTCTATTTCAGACACGCTAGTGCCGTCCCGTCCCCAATTCCGCCTCGGCCAGAAAATCCTTTCCGGGGTTGGACAATCGAAGCGGACAGCAGACTGGTAGGACAGCTCTCACAGGTGCCTGGTGAGGACACAACCGATTATAAGAGCAATAAGGCTATAGAGCATGGACTCAGCGAGAAGGTTTTCGGCGCTGGAGAACGCACCACGAGACCCCACGCTTGGATCTTGAATAGCCATCCAGCCTTCAAAGATTCTACGACGGGTGGAAGGGTGTCTTTTCGGACCCTCTCAGCCAACACCTTCCGGGAAGAGGATATCTGACAGACGTACAGTCCAGCCACTTGGACTCAACACTGGTGTCATCCGGCGCAAACGACATTGGAGCGGGGAGAACTTCGGGAATGGGCATTCGCTCGACCCATATTGGCGCAGGCGACGAGGTGTCCTCTCCGTTGGGATATTCGGGCGTCGTTTCCGTCGAAGGACGCAAGACCAGCGGGACTGCAAGCGGTGTGTCCTCTACAGCAACATACTCAGGCATCGCTTCTTTGACAATTATATAGAATAGATGTCAGCCAGGCTGGTGGTGTCGTATATCGCGCGCAGTAGGCTGGAAGGTGCCGGTAAGTACTTGAGTCACAGTGCGCTCGAGGGATGGAATGGGGGACTGATGATCGTACTTAGGTATAATAGGGCTTTAAAATTTTACGTGAGGAGCAACACGATGCGCCATCTTACTATCATCGCGCGTTCTGCGTACGTCTTATGCATCGGCCCGTGCAGAATACGTGCGGTGAACGCTGCTCTACTCCCTCGAGCTATTTTTTAGCTCAACCTTCTAGACGCCGATGCCCCGTCTCGTGCGTCCCACGGCGCTGCTCTCTAGCTCTATCCCTCGGCCCACGGTTGTTCTTCTTCGTTTGCCTTCTTTTCCTCCCTCCCTCCTTCTTTTCCTTCTTTTCCTCCTCCTCCTCTGTCGCCACCGACCGTGGCAGATACGAATTCCCCCTGGAATGATGTCTCCGCCTGCACTTCCCTCGCATCAACGGATGTAAGTATATATCACTTCTCAGCCGTGTATCCTCCTCAACCTCTCGGCGCCGCCCACAGCCCGCTTCTCGTTCCTCGTTCCAACTTCGCAGTAGGTATACGGCACAGAGAGGAATACGTTTCGGCACCGCGCAGAGTTCCAAGGCAAGTGTGCGTGTGCTTTCGCCATTCGTTCGGCAGACGAAGTCGCAAGGACCAATTCGCCACCGACTATCGGTCCACGGGGATCAGGGATTTATTGTCATGAACATCCAGGAGAAGGTTGTCCGCGGATATCAAGAGAATGTATAGGGAGGAAGGATACGAAGGGAGGGTGCGGTCTCATTGTTGCTATATTTGGGAAAGAATCAGAAATCGGTCATGTTTTAGATGAGAGAATGAGGACGACAGCACCTATGAAGAATGAAATATCAGCCGAAGGCAGCGTGAATGCAATCGTGTCACTCACGAATCATTTGTCTTCCAACTCTTCGGCCCCATCGCCGCAAACTTGTCAAAAGTAATTCACTTCCAACATCATCTCGCCAGACTTCCAGGCATACATTAGCACCATCCCACCATCTTCTGGAACAATAACTTACCCTTAGACTGTACTTCATTCCGACGACACGCTCCTCATCGATCGCATAGTAGGGGTAATGATTCTCGACCGACCGCGAGGTGACGTGATAGGGCAGGCGCGTCACCACCTGCCGCAAAAAGACGTTGTTTGGGGGGAGAACACTCGGATTGTGGGGTCCAAAATGGCGTCGTGTCCGAGACGTGAGGTAGGGATTGGCGTAAGAAAAGTCGAGCACATCAATCCCTAAACCACCAATCGACTCGCATAGTACGCGACAACCGTATGAGGCGCTGCCGCAAGAGGTTAGTGAGGAATTTGACAGAAGAAAAGCTTGCTTTACCAGGGACCACCCGGTTGTACTCGCCGCTCGGTGAAACGGGTGTCGTACGGGCCCCAGCGGTCCCAAGGTATCTCTTCAGCTTGAGTCTGGTTACTATCTCTGTATATAGGGCGAAGGAATGCGCGACTGTGCACGAAGAGAGAATAAGACTGGTGTTGGCCGCTCGTAGTTCGGTACTCCAGCGAGAAAACGTGTATCCGGGAATCTGGAACAGGCATGAACGGTGTACCTGGAACTGGGCGCACAGGTAACTGCGTCGAATGTGTTACGAATGAAAGTAAACCTGATGAAGCAGTCGGTGGTAGCATAAGTGTGGCCACGATGGTCGGAGGGGCCGGAACCATCGGGGAGAACTTGCAGACGTAAAATTTTCCTGGCCCGGAGACGGACATTAGAATAAACGCTTCTCGACTCAACATTTCGAGACTATAGATGTCTTTCGGTAAATTGGAGCAGATCGAGTCCTGCGGGTACATTAAACACGATAAGGGATCAAGACCGGAAAGACAAACGTAGATGAGGAACCCTTCTCTCCAATTCCAGAGCAATAACCGACCGTCTCCGTGATGTGACCAGATGGCGACGACATCATCTGCCAGCAGGATCTTGTGACTATAGGAGCCATGCCGAACGAAATCGAACTGAAAGGAATCCACCTTCGCGCTCGGGTGGGCACCATCTGCGGAAATGCAACGAGCATGGGCTTGGATGCGCCTACGTCCGTCTGGCAGTTCTCTTTTTCGGACATCAGATGCCTGAGTGTCTACAGCTCGGAATATAGACCACTGACCTCTTCTCCAGGAGGACAATTAAATCTTGACTTGGATCGATAGTAAAATCGATAGCATGGAAGTCCAGCGAGGCTGTGGTGCGCGTACGGCCCGTTTGAGTAGCAGATGAAAGACCGCATACGGACAAATCGGCGCCCTTCCTATCAATCTTCACAAAAATGCCTGATATTAACGCATATCTGCCCAAGTCTCCTGGTAGCTTCACGGTCTCGCCAAATGTCCAATCCAGCGATTCCCAACCCTTTCGCAATCGTCTGAGGCTTAACTGCAGTATATCGAGGGGTACATCGGCGCCGTTGTCTTGCATAGAGCTCAAAAGGAGCTCGTAGGCATACTGGATGGCGGGTGACTTGAATTGCTCGTGAAGCGCCCGACAAGACTATCAATGAAAAGGTGAGGATATTGCTCCAAAGGAGGAAGACTCGCGCACCAGTGCTAGGCTGAGCATAGATCCGGCGTCCAGAATACCCATAATTTCGAGCTGGAGCTCTGCGGGGAGAGCGAGAAAGGACCCAGCTCCCATTGGCGCCGGAGGTGGTCGTGGTTGCGGTGAGGAGTGGTGAGGTCCATCACGTAAGTACTGAATGATCTTATCTTATCTTATCTGTGTCGATCATGCAACTTTCGAGTTCAACATCGGCTTTGGCCGTTCTGCAGCTTTTCGGTCCCCTTCCTTCCACTTGTTTTGCCATGGACATTTTCCTGCACGAGCGCGAACGGAGACGAATGGTGAGCGGGATAACGACCATGAGGGAGGAGTGCAGGGGTGAGTGAACAAAGGAACCGCGGTGAGACCGGTTCCACCGTTCGCAATGGTGGGGCGGGGGTACTTTATTCATCTAGGAATGCCTATTAAAGGATTAGTATGACGTCTGAGCAAGAGGCGGCGAGGATTTAATCACCGGACACAAACCCTCCGGGGGTGGGGGGGTGGTGGGCCGGATTCAGCGGAGAGCGGGGATTTTTTATTGAGGGTGGCCAAGCGGCCGTGGCTTCTCAAAGTTCTTGGCGATGCACCCAAGCCGCGTGAATGGGGCGCATTTGCCTCGCCTGGGTGGCTCGAGGTGGCTTTCATCAGTTCCAGAGGCCACAGTACTCTGTATTGAACTATAAAATGTACCTACAATTTTGCATCCCCAACCGAAAACACAAGTTCATCTTGCAAAGGAAACACCCAGCAACACTAGTACTGGTAGAGTCCCAATTTGAAAAATGACATCTTATTGCTGCGGGTGAGCTGTGCCGGCGCCTCGGTTTTGCTGATCCAGAGAAGAGAAAACGTGGAGAGGAGGGCGCTGGTTCAAAGAAGTGGGCAGGGAACATTGGATATAAGCAGTATTTTATTAATATTACTATACCACCGTGCGTACACGCCAGTCTGGGGGTGGGGGGTCCGCCCCAATTTCGTGAGAGGTAAAAAAAAATTGGGGGGTGGGGGGTGGTGGGCGAAATGTTCGAAATTTTGGGATTTTCGGGGTTGGTGTCGCGAAATTTTATCCTCGCCGCCTCTTGCGTCTGAGGGCCAAAAAACGCCGCCAGTTGAGAAATGGCTCAGGAAATCGCATGTGCTCGCGGGGGTAATCCTCTACGAGATCCTCGATCCACGAGCCATACAGGGCGTCTGGGGAGTAAGAAACACCGCGCAGAGGGCCGCAGGATCGGTTTTACGCGCTAAGTGGATGTGCGGGCCTTATCTCCTCCTTGAGCTCCACCCCCCGCTCCCGTCTCGCGTCTTTTCCGCGTCGAAGGATGTAAGTGAGTGGCTTCCTCCGTCGCGTGTCGGCCTAGCTCTCACCTGCCGACGCAGAACGTCCAGGCCTTTCTTCCGAACTCGCGGGACGATCGGTCTCATATCATCTTGGTGTAAGGCACTTGAAAGATGAGCAGGATGACGTTGGCGTCCACATGGAGGGTCTCTGGCTCATCCAGGGTGGCTCTCCTACGCGTCGAGTCGTAGTACCACTCGTCGTACCGATCATAGTTCCGATACGTGCATTTGAGCTGCGTCAGTTGGTCGAGTCGATGGACGGTGGAGAAGGTTGGAGAAGGTCAGTACATTGTCCTTTCATGGCTACCAGAAGCCTTTTTTCTGATCTTTCCCCGTTGGCTTGGACCACCAGCATTCTAACTTGTCTTCCAACACACCCACTAAGTTGACTCTGGACCGCAGTCTCGTATTGTTGAACTCGCGCAAAGATCTTGTCATGTGGTATCCTTATGACGAAGTCGGTCATGAGAGACGACGCCGACAAGCTGTGGAGGCGAAAATCCATCAAGGTAAGCCGTCTATCTCCTTGTCAAGGATATAGTGACCCATTCTCTTTACTGTACTGCAGAAATACCAGTCTTCGAGCTCGGAGGGGGACGAATGGTTAGAGCGACGGCAGGCGCGAAGTACATGGTCAGCCAACACCGTTCTTAACGCGCATAATAAGAGGTGTTCATTATGGTGCCAAAAGTTCGGTCGGTCTCGTTCCTTCCGCGGCACTTGTCCCGCCGCCATTTGTCATTGGAGTTTAGCCTAAACACGTCCGCGGCGGGGTTGATGAAGACAACAGCTTAGGGTGAGCGACAGAGGCGCGCCCGCGTGAGAATCAACGATCGAACTTAGCGGTGATTAGAGAAAGCCTCATGGTTTTTCTGGCTCTTCGTAGCATCGTTTGGGAATAGGGGAAACCCGTAGAGAAAAAGCTGTTGGTTCTTCCGTAGTGCGCCTCTCGCTCGTTCTCCTCGTGGACACGGTGAAGATTCAACCATCTTCTGTGAGTCGAATGCATCCTCATGTTCATTTTACGTCTTTTACATATTATCCCATCGATGTCCGAAGTCTCAACTGCACGATCGAAATGAGTGCTCTGCACGAGTATCTCCTGGCCGTGGCCAATGTGTCATTGTTCGCCCTGTACTGCGGATCGAGATCGTTACTTGGCCTATACTCCCATCGCGGAAAAATACAGTGCTGAAATTACGCAGAAAGTCCTTTCCTGACTAGAGATGTTGACACTGGGGACCCCAAATGACCACATCTTATCTTATCATACCAATTTCAGCTTACGTCACGGATGCCCCTGTCGAACGCCCCTCCATTTTACCCACCACCATCTCCATCATGCCTCTCAAAGTACCTCTGCTCCCTGAAGATATACTATTTGTCGTCATGACCTTTCTCGATGCAACTGATATTCGCTCCATGGCACTTGTACGTCTGTAATATCATGTTCTGTCTGCCGCTTCGTACTAACGTGTGTCCCCAGGTGTGTCAGTCGTTCTATGAGATATTCAAGTCACCTACGATCCAATACATCTACGAGCTTCAACTTGATGGAATGCGAGACGCTGGATCGATGAGGTCGCACGCAGGGCTACTAGAGCGGCTACGAGACCGGAGACGGGCCTGGGAGACGCTGGACTGGAAGGACGTTTATGATGTGGAGATCCCGAATGGTTTCAGCGCATACGAGTTCGTCGCCGGCGCCTTCTCGCGGACGAATGGAACAGATTTCTCCGTTCATTGGCTCCCCTCCTCCACTCAAAGTGGCCATGATATTGTTCACCCATCGGTTGGCGTCACCATCCGCGACTTCGCGATCGACACCACGCAAGATTTAGTTGTTTTCTTGGAAGAGAAGTGAGTTATTCTTACGAATCACGGGGGACTTTGTTCATGACGTTGGAATCAGTCAGACATCCGAAGGGATACTGCATATGAACCTCCACTGTCGGGCCGTCTCCACCAACGAAATCCACCCTCACGCTGCCAGTGGTGTCATGTCATTCGACATAACACCACATGAGGTTTACGGAAGCAGGGTGTCGGCAGCAGAGCTACAAATCGCAGACGATATCCTCGTTCTTTTCGTCTCCGCAAGCGCAGGAAATCGATTCCTGATCTGGAATTGGGAGAAGGGAGTACAACTCTATGTGCGTTTCCACTTTTAAGGCCCTCGAGACTTATACTGGAGGATATACCCTTCTAGGATTCACTTGACGAAGACATCTCAGACGTGATTGAAGATTTCAACATCCTCCAACGTGGCAAGCTCATCATCACGACCCCAACGAATGTGTACGGAAATATCCTGATTTACGACTTTTGTCCGACAACTCAAGGACCAATTTCCCTGTTGGCGATCCTCGAGCTGCCTGTTCTTTCACCCAACTACCGTGTGCTCAACGTCGGGGTCCATTCAGGACCGCTTCAAAGGTATCCAACTCCTGGGACGCTTTTCACCCCATCACCCGACGCCCACATCCATACTTTCACTCTGTCCTACGTCAAGGGCCCGAGGCCCGGAGGACAACTCGCATTCAAAAATTACGTGCTTTTCGTTCCTAGTTCCATCCTTCTTCGCTATTGCAAACACGACCCTTCCGAAGAACCTTCAGATATTCAATGGGCGACCTGGGGTGAACATGGTAGCCTTTTGATAGGCCCGCGGCCATCCTTTCAGTGGCTCCGGTACGTCTGCCCCCTCTTCCCATCAGAGACTCTGTGATACATCGTCGCTAGGTACGCCCACGGCCCACGCGTCGTTCTCAAGTCCGACGATGGAAAGGGCATCGAGGTACTCGACTTCTCAGACGCGAATCCGCAACGTGCCGCTCTAAGACGCCAACACAATCCAACCGTAGTTCCTGAGGAAGATGTTTTCCTCGACGAAATCGTGACTTACCTCCCGCATCGCAGGACTGTTCGTAAGGTCGAGCAAGATTTCTTCGCTTACATGATCGACGAGGAGAGGATAGTCGGATTAAACGTAAGTTTCATAGGCTGACGTTCTGACTTCGCTGACCTCTTCGCCAGAGCCCCGGCGATACGACTGAAATGCAGGTTTATTGTTTTTGAATATGACGCGGTCTCGAAACCCCTGATGATGTACTTCAAGAAAGCTGCAGTATTTATCTATGCTCGGTTCTGATTTCGAAGTTCTCTCATCTTGGATGCCTGGTCAGTCCCCCCGCCGTCAGAGCGGCAGGCCGCAACTACGTGGCCAGCATGTTACACCGTCTCGACACCCGGGTGTGTGTACTCTAAATTGCACCACAATTTGGCTATCTACACATCCTCTCAATCTTCCGGCTGCCAAACATTCCGTGTGTCCAACCCATGTCCTGAAAGGACGCCAGTAGTGTCGTCCATCTTGAAGCGGATCGTGTAAGTTGTCCTGAAAACAGGACGCGTGCGCGGAATAACCCCAGAATCAGGCATCTTCAGAGGAAATCCCTCGACACTCTCCTTTCTTTCCAGGACCTTCCCTCCGACGACGGGATCTGTGTCCATCTTCCCAGTATAGACCGCGATATCGGACAGCAGCGGCCTCGCAGTGGCTCCCTCCGTCTCCAAAGCCCAAACGAGCTTGTAGAGCGCGTCGCACGTGAAAATCTCCCAAGTGCTCGAGGGTATAATACGAGCGAAGGAGGACATATGTAACTCAACTTGCAGTGCTCAACGCTGGGTATCCCAACCAATTTGATGTTTGGGAGATATCCTGCCAAGTCGAGCTGGCTCGACGAAGCAGGACTGGAGGGTATTTATGAGAAATCCACCTCATTCGGCGCAGGTATGCTTCTCTACCTCTTCGCCTGGCTTCCCCCTTTATTGAGATGAGTTTCAGCACTCCCACTACCGCATCTTTTCTCTTACCCACATTTTCCCTGCATCTGGCAATCGCTGATTTATTACCTCTGTCGATCAGCGCTGAGGAAGCTATTCGACAAGCCTCCTTTATCCGGGCATTCGGGTGTATATGCAAAGCTAAAACACTATCCTAGGTATTATCTCGCCCAACTGCCACCTTTTGCAACGTCTTTCTCATTCAAACAAGCCTCTGTTTACCCAACAATCCCTCGACCGATTGTAAATTTATCCCATTATATTCTGTGTGAACAATCCAGTTCTCGTTGTCGTTGAATCGGTCTCATGTTTTACTAGCAGAATATCTAGCCATCAATCCAATGGATGCGAGCAAGAAGCCACTCACGTCTTCTAGTGCATCGTAGATGTCTCTTCAGTCACACTTGCGTATGTAGATAAATTCGCGCTGAATACACCCACTACTGAAAGCCCATCATCAGCCGTCAGGGTGATCGACCTCCCCCCAGTGCCTCGTGGCAGACGGGAAAGCATGCAGGTATCACTACCTATCATTCTGCCTTTTATTCTCAGTTGATTAGGCACGGGAATGTCCCTCGTCGACACAATCCAATTATCGAGAGCATGAGGGTGGAAAGACGCCGGCGGTAGCGGCCCAATGCTTCTCGTCGCGGAGACATGGCATAAGTACCGAGTTGCAGCCGACAGTATTATGAAAGCTGATTACTGGATGCTGTGGGCGTTCTCGCACGTTTTGTGTGCATTGATTGAGCTTTTGGACACGTGTAAACCCAATCGACCCTCTCTTCTCATTCTCACCTTCTCGACACCTCGTCTCAGTGTCGATGGCCGCCACCTCTCTTCGTGGCCTCCCTCCGGAGCTGCAATTCAAAATCATGGTGTTGCTTGATGCCGCGTCGATGCTTTCCGTAGGATTGGTACGTACAAGGTTTCTTCCCTTTCGGCGGTCCTCTAACACTTGCACCCGCAGTCTTGTAGGACGCTTCATGAGCTATTCAGGTTGCCTAGCGTCCAATATCTCTATGACCTCCACTTAAGCGTCATGCAAGAGAACGGCACCGATACGTCACTCGATCAATTGCATTCAAGATTACGATGTCTACGAAAAGGTTGGGAATCTTTGGATTGGACACCTGCTCAAGATGTCGTGAATATCCCTGGGAGCGAAAACGTGGGATGTTTTGTCTCGGGAATGTTCATCGAGACCAATGAAGAGCGAACGGGTCTTACAGTCCATTCGCTCCCATCTGCGACACAAGGAGGCCATTCGCACTACACTGCATCCGTGGATTTCCGATTCACCTCTTTTGATATCGACCCAGGTCAAGATGTGATCGTCTTCGTGGGGGAAAGGTTAGTACCTTCGGCTGACTCAAGGCTGATATTTTGACCCTCAAAACAGCGTGTTACCAAATGGAACCCGACGTGGCAATGCTCACATTCGCACCCTTTCGGCGCATATGTCCCATCCTGATGCAACAGTAGAATCTTTTCCCTTCGACATTTCTCCACGCCGGGACTACTACGACATCAAGGTCGTGGATGATGTCCTTGTTGTTATAACGTCTGGACCTGGAATATATCGCTTATTGCTTTGGAATTGGCAAAAAGGATTTCTTATATACGTAAGTCCTCCCACACTAAATTCTTGCCGTTGCCTGAGCGCAGTCTAGGATTCCACCGATCTCGGTCTTCCGCCCAAAACCTACAGTTTTAAGATGCTCGGACGAGAGTCTTTTTTTCTGACGACCACAGCACAGTTTGGGAAAATCCATATCTACAAGTTCTCTCCAACGGCGCCGTCGATTCCGAGGATGGTAGCGATGCTGGAGCTACCAATAAGCAATATGCGGTTATCGAATTTCTTCATACTCTCACCGAAATTACCGACAAATCCTACGCCAGGGACAATGTTCGCTCCCAGGCCTGATGCCTGGGTTCACGTCTTTTCAGTGCGGTACTTTCCTGAAGAACCCAAATCCAAAAAGCCGTCATATATGCTCTTCGTGCAGAGCCGCACCCTTCTTCAGTACGTCCACCGTGCCGGCGACATCGCCCAAGGCGAAGACGTGCCGTGGGGCCAATGGGGTGAACACGAGACACGCTTTATTGCGGAACCGCAGGAAGACTACGGTCAAGTGTAAGTACTACGTTGGCTCTCTCCCCGCCTACATTGTCCCTCACGTCAGTCCAAAGCTATCCTTATGGTCATCGTGTCCTGAGAAAGCCGATTGGCTCTTCGAGTATCGACGTACTTGATTTTTCGGAGGTGAACCCCAACCTCGCCTCTCCGGCTGGCATGAGACAGAGGTTCGGACGCGACACTCCCACCCTCCTTCCTCCCAACAATGTATTCCCGCAGCAAGTCATAACGCGCCTTCCCTTTCACGTTACCTCGCGACCAGTCGAGAGAGACCCGCATCCTTACTACATGATGGACGAAGAACGTGTTGTCGAGTCTTATGAAGATGTAAGTCACCCTCCAAGTGAGGATGTCGGATGATGCTAACGTGCAGAACCAGGAGTCAAATGGGACACTATTGCAAGTATATTACTTTTGAGGTAGAAGCCCGAAATAAACTGAAAAGTAACGTGGTAAATTTTTGACACTGAATACGACTCCCTTCTGCATACTATCCTCGACATTTCCTTGTTTTGTCGTTGAAGCCACCAAATTTGACCCAGTACGCGGACAGACGGGGCCGTAAAGAGCTCGAAGTCCGTCTATCTGCCACACTCCCTCAATCCTGCGCCAACATTCAAAACGGGTGTACCATCAGCTCAAGCATATTACCCATGAACTACGCAGTTGTTATTGTGGTCGGGGTATGATGTTTGGATAAGACGCACCTCCATCGCAACAACCCGTTCTTCATCAATCATGCAAGCGAATGGCATTTGCCCTCTAAGCTCACGGGATGCGACGTGGTATGGCAGACGAGTTACGACGTCTTCCTCGAAAATGTCCCCCTTCGCAATGATGGTAGGATTGTCGCTCCCGAAGTGTTGCTGCTGTGAGAGCAACCCTGAAGCCGAGCAACTGGCCAGAGACGGTGATGAGGAAAGGTCGAAGACGTCGATCCAGGTGCTTTCAGGATCCTTGCGCATACGGATGACTCGGTTTCCATGCACATTCCTGGTAGATAAGATTAGGATAGGACGATATGCGTGAACAGTGGTCATACCGGCGCCAGTTTCCCCGAATTCTTTTCTCTATGAAACGGCTCTCTTGTTCGCCCCACTCGCTCCATGGCACTTCCAAATTGTCTTCCTGGCAATGAACAAACCGCAAAAAAGTCTTGCTCTGAACGAAGAGCATCCATCCCTCCGACGACGAAGAGTGGCTTATAGAGAAGACGTACGTGCGGCAGGTGGGATTGGGCAAGAAAAGCGCACCAGGGGTTGCGCGGTTTTGATACTGGCCAGAATCCACCCGGAAAAGGAGTGTCTCCTCCCCGCTCGTCTTTGGCAAGGAGAGTGTCGTGATAAGAATGGGGATGCAGGCAACAGTAGGGGAAATTTGGTATATGAGGATCTTCCCTGAACCTGCCCGCGATGTGAGGATAAAGACGTCTCGCTGTACGACATTGAGCTCGTCAATGGCCGACGATAATCGATCTAGAGAATCCTGCAATCTTTGTTTGGTTACTCTTTCTCCAACTAACCCCATGGTATGCGAGACGCACGTAGATTAGGAATCCCATCTTCCAATTCCAAATCACAATCCTGACGCCATGGACCTCTCGGGTGGTCACGAAAAGGACATCGTCCGCCACATCAAGCTTTGCAGTAAAGAAGACGCTTTCCTCGTTATCCTGGAACGATTCGAAGGACAAGGTGCTTGCTGATGAACAGGCAGGGTGTTGCTCGTTTGTGGAGGTGGAGCGGCAATAAAGGTTGCCACGACGGAAGCCGCTGGGTAGTTCTCTGGTTCAAGACAGCAATTATCAGTATGAATACAAGAATGGATGTGTAATCTCACTCTTCGTGCAAAAAGACCACCAGATCCTCTGCTACGTCAAGGATGAAATTGCGGACCGGAAACGCCAATGGTGTGGTGGTATGAGCTCCTGTTCTAGTAGCAGATGGAAGACAGAACATGGAGAAATTGCGCCCATGCGTTTGGGAAAATAGACCCCCGACGCAATCATAGGCGTTAAATTGGCGGTTCGCTTTCACAAATCCGACACTCTTCCAGTTCAGATCCGCCCAGGCTTTTTGGCGGTCCTGCAACGCAGTCAGGAGTTCCGCTGGTGGATTACCAGACCCAGCATCTTTCATCGAGTTATATCGAGCTCATAGACATACTGGATGGCGGGAAATCGGAATATCTGGTAGAGCGCTCGACAGGACTGCGAAGGCAAGATGAGGTGTCCGAGATTGTCCACAAATTAGGTGAGGACGTACCATCGCGATTGAACGAATAGATATACCATCGAGACGTGACACTATATCGAGTAGTAATTCTTCTGGTAGCGATGTTAAAGAAGATGCCATTGTAAAGGTCATGGAGATAGTCGAAGGCGTCGACGTCAGACGAGACGATCCAAAAAGTGATCGTGAGAATCGATCATTCACTGACTATAAAGTCGTTTCGCTCTCACGCTGTCCTCTTTCCTCGATTCTTCCACAATCAAATCCGCCGATGACGATACTTTTGGTGCAGCGCGTTGAGCCAGCCGCGTCCTCGACGTAGGCGGCGCTGACATCGCCCGTTCGGCACCGCATACCTTGTTACTTTCAAAGGGACGGGCTTAGACTGATCTGAGGCGGTCGTTTGGTTGTGGATTTCTTTTCTCTATCTCCTTCTCTTCCAGGGGTGTTCTAATGGGTTTCTGGCGGTCATCGGAACGTGCAGGAGGTGGGTGTGCGAAAGAGGGTCTGACCTGGGTGAGTAAAGGTACACTGCGGTTGTTTCGTGCCTGATTCATTTTTCTAGCTTGTAACTCCCCATGTCTACTCCATATCGTTTTTGTACCCTATTAGCGCAATGGATGTATTCTCCTCTTTCTCTCTCCACCTTGCCATTCCCCTGGATCTCCACGACAATCTTTCTGCACCCGATGAACGCTCGAGCCTCTCAACTGTCTAGGCTCATGACATTTCGTCGGCAGCCACATCACGATTCGCCATAAGTAGAACAACATCCTGACGCCGGTCTTCGTCTGGGTCTCTTCGTGCCTCGCGACCTGGAAATCGTTGTGTGAGTTCCGGCTCGTCGCACCTCCATGTCACCTGTCATATCCGACTGTAAGGCTTGGTTAGGTTGACGGAAGCTGTTGCTGCTCGGTCTCTTGGACCATAACCCATGCGCTATACCGCTTCGGTGGCAAGAGAGTAGGAGAAACGGTGAACATATGCACAAGGAGCCTATGCATGAACCCCAAATTTCGCTCGCTCCAAGTCGCTTCTACTTCATCACGAGTGAAGGCTCGTCCTGCTTTCAAAGCAATTCTACGAAGGCGTCAGCAACGTTTGAATCACCGTTTCGCACTCACAGGGACGGTCTGGTGAGTCGTCTTTCCCGAATTTTCTTCTTTTCCTCATCATTTTTCCCGAATCTGCCTCTATCTCGCGACATGGAAATGGATCCTTTTCCTTTCTCTTTCCTCGTCGCCTTATTCTCGAATTCCTGTCCAATTTCTCTGCGCCTGATACGATATGCGCTGGCTTCTGAACATCGTGTTATGTCGGGCCCGCACTCGCTTTTCTTCGGGTCCCGCATCGCTCCTTTCCTAAAGCACTGGTCTCACTTAGGAAAAAGAATGGGAGAAACGTGAATACATGCGCAAAGAGCCTATGCTCCGTCCCAAACTTTGCTCGTTCCAAGTCTCCTTAATCCGGATGAAAGCTCGTCCTACGTTCAGGCGATTCTACGAAGGCGTTGGCTATGCTTGAATCGTCGTTTCGTATGGTCAATTTAAATGACGGTTTGGTAAGTCCCCTTAACCTCATTCTTTTCGTATTCCTTATAATGTTCCTAGATTCTACCTCCCAAATTTGTCTCGCAGTGGGGCCCATGAACAATTCTCCCTCGGGCCTCGTTTCCGCTCCAATCTTTCTACACCTGTTTCATGATTGTCTAAACTGATTCCTTTCATGAATCGCTCGCCTCGCCTGTCGTTTGGGTGTCATCGCTCGCCTCGGCAATGGTGAGACTGACGTGCCTCAAGCCTTGTCCTTACTCCTTATTCCACTCAACGCCTTCATCCTGAAGGGTCTCTTTTCCTCCACTCACAGATGCATTTGCGGCTATCCTCTTGCTGCTCAAATTTATGCTTCCTTCTAACCCGCCCTCCATCCTCGAAATAAGACCACTATAGCGCGGTCCCAGGAGGCCCAGTTCTTTACGCGTACTGAAGTTCCGCACGCTGAAGTCCTCAAAATATGCAAAGGGCCTCCTGTACATCAACCACCTCCCATGAAACCCCTTTCGTGAGTCCATGCACTCCACTTTCATCTTTCTTTCGTAAAATTTCAACTAACCAGTCTTATCCGCAGATGAGGGTTTAACTTCTCGCCTTCTTCCTCGTCGTTCGCAAACACCGGACTATCAACGAGGCGCCTGCTCCCCTCCTATATCCTCTTCGAATTATCCAATGCCCCTCACTGGCAGATCGCTAGCTGATGATGGTTTTCTGGTATCGGTCTCCAACCCACCCCATCAGACAGCCTGAGCAATTTGGAGTCTTCAGCAGGAGTACGTCCGGAATATTTTTTTACCTCCCAAATCTGACACATTCTTCTCAATGCAACGCGCTGATAGACTTATGAACGAGTACCGTGAGCGTATCCCAGCCCACTTCTGAAACACGGCTTTGAACTCTCCACTACACCATTTGTTTCGTTTCTTACGAGTATACGACTACCCTCTCCTCCTCCTACGACTACGACTACGACTGCGACTAGTGCCCTTGGTTGGTTGGTTCGCACCCCTCGACTCGACTCGACTTGCCAACACCGACCCCGACGAAGACCGCTTGCATTTGGTCCCTACATCGTCACCCCACCCCATCACCCCACCCCAGATATCACCCCACCCCATCACCTCGCCCCCGCCACTCCGCCCCCGCCACGCCCTCGCCCGCCTTTCCCATTCTATTCCATACTAACTAAGTACCAACCATTACTGTGTTCCCAATCTCTCTGCTATTTTAAAATTTAAATGCATGCGATTCATTGTGAATTTCTTCTAATGACTCGTCGTTATATAAGAGTATGTACCAATAAAGACCTCAACGCGATCACCCATCCTCCCTTCTTGAGTCGTCTACAACCAAACCTGACGCTGATGACAGCTTCTGGTGCGGTGTATTGAAGAGTAAGCCATGCTGCACTCTCCCACCGCTCCTTGCATACACCAACTAACCGCGACTCGAACCTATAGCGAGGTGAGTGAACACTCCGTATGACGCTCCAAGGTACGCACCAAAAATTACAATACGGTGCGAGCCCTAGAACGAATAAACCGTCAATTCGAATGCGTCCGTCCTAAACTACACAATCGATATTCATAATGAGCCATACGAAAATTGGAATCACAGTTGGTTTATGACACACCATCATGCCAACGATCCGCTCTTCGTCAATCAAGTAAGCGTGCGGCGTGTTCTCCACTTCACGTGAGGCAACATGGTACGGGAGGCGTGTTACGACATCTTCCTCGAAACTCCCTTCGTCTTTGGAGATCACGGTAGGATCACCACTGAAGTACTGCTGTCCTTGAGACCCTGGCATAGGGGAACTATATTTGGAGGTGGAAAAGGGAGAGAAGTCCAATACATCGACTCCTTGTTTGTCGATGGAGTTGCAGACGACGCGATGTCCGTGCACGTACCTGGTAAACAATATGAGAGAAAGATATGCAGGAATGCGGAGAGAGCAACATTACCGACGCCAGTCGCCTTCCATTCTTTGCTCCATCAGGCGCGTCTCTTTCTCACCCCAACCACTCCACGGCACCTCCAGCCCCTTGCAGCCCTGATCAACATATCGCAGGAAAGTGCTGCTGCGAATAAAGAGCGTATAGCACGATCTGTCCTCCCCCTCAAAAGAGAAGACGTGCGTGCGGGATGTGGGAGAGGGCATGAATAGCGTGCCTGGTGTCGGACGCTCCTGGAACTGTCCTGAGCGAGCCGTGAACCGTATTATATTTACGTTGTTCTTGGGCAAGGAGAGCGTCACGATAAGGACGGGGGCACGAGACACCGTGGGGTCGATTTGGTAAACGAAGATCTTCCCTGAATCAGCGACCGAGGTGAGAATGAAGACGTCCCGCCGAACGATGTCCAGCTCGAAGACGAGAGGAGCCAGTTCATCAAGCGAGTCCTGTATTTCTATTTAGCTATTGTTGCCCAAAATGTAAACAGACAAGACGTACATGAATAAGCAGTCCGGTCTTCCAATTCCAGATCATAAGCCTCAGGGCGGGGCCCGTCCACACGGTCACGAAGAGCACATCGGAGGCCACCTCCAGCTTCAAGGAGAACATTACGTTGGTAAGTTGGCGCACTTCAAAAGACACAGGAGACGGTGACGAGCAGGCGGGGTGTGGCTCGCTCGTAGAGATTGTGCGGCAATAAAGGTTGGCACGACCGATTCCGCCGGTCCATTCTCTAGTTTTCAAGAGACAAATGTGAGTAAAGCAGTTGCATGTCTTGATGACGACTTACTCGTGCATAACGATAACAAGATCTTGTGCTACGTCAATCACGAAATCACGAATCCTAGAGCCCATGTCTGTAGTTGCAAGAGTTCCGTGCCGGGTGGCGGATGGGAGCCAGGACACAGAAAGAAATTGTCCATAGGCTTGAGCAAAGGCGCCGGCGACGTGTTCTATGATAGTGAAAGGGCGACTGGCCTTCACGGTTTCGACACTCTTCCAGTTCAACCCCCTCCAAGCGTTTTGTCGATCTCGTAAAGCGGCCAGGAGCTCTTCCGCGGGTCTACCAGAGCCCGAATCTTGCATAGAGCTGACCCCGAGCTCGTAGATATACTGGATTCTGGCAGATCGGAAGATCTGATAGAGTAGACGGCAGGTCTAAGCGCCGTCTAGTGAGCTTTCCGGCTGAGAGAAAAATAGGGCATTTGACCACGAACCAGAGCCATTGAAAGCATAGAGACGCCATCTAAACATTCCATTATACCGGATAGGAGGTCCTCTGATAGCAACATTAACGGCATCGTGAATGTCGTAAGTAGAGAATGTGGAAAGAGCGGCGAAACTCAGCCGAAAAAGTCATCGTGAGAATCCATCATCCGTTGACTATGTATAAAGTCGCTTTGCTCCCACGCCCTCCTCTTTCCTCGATTCTTCCACAATCAAACCCGCCGACGACGATACCTTTGGTGCAACGCGCTGAGCCAGCCGCGTCTTGGGCGCAGGCGGCGATGACAGCGCCCGTTCGGCACCGCATACCTTGTTACATTCAAAGGGACGGGCTTGGACTGATCTGAGGCGGTCCTTTGGTCGTGGATTTATTCTTCGCCTCTCCTTTTTTCCACCAGGGAGGTTAATGGGTTTCCGGCAGTTTCTGGGAGGTGGATGTGGTTTTTTGGCGCCTTATGCTTGGAACAGGGACCAGCTAGGTGAGTAAAGAATCATTGTGGCTGTTCCGTGCCCTGATTTTTTTTCTGGTTTATAGTTCTCTACCTCGGTATTAATATCTTGTTGTATGATACTCGCTCAATCGACACCTTTGTTTTCCCTCTCCCCGTTTCCATTTCTTGGATCACGGCGACAATCTTTCTGCACCCGATGTCCGCTCGAGCCTCTCAAACGCCTCGCCTCATATTCACATTTCGTCGTTGTGCGATTTAGGTCACGTCGCACCTCCATGTCGCCTGCGTCGCATCCGACCGTAAGGTTAGGTCCCCGGTGCTCGGTCTCTTGGGCCGTAACCCATACGCTACACGGGTTCGGTGGCGAAAGAGTTGGGAAAACGATGAATATATGCACAAGGAGCCTGTCGACAGATCCCAAATTTCGCTCGCTCCAAGTCGCTTCAACTTCCTTCAGCACGGATGAAAGTTCGTCCTGTGTCCGGGGCCATTCTACGAAGGCGTCGGCGACGTTTGAATTATCGTTTCGTACTCACAAAGACGGTTTGGTGAGTTGCCTTGATCGCATTCTCGTCGTATCCTCATCATTTTTCTATTCTAGCTCTATTCCAAATTTATCTCGCGACATGGAAACGAATCCCTTTCCTTTTCTCGTCGCCGTATTCTCGAATCGCTGTCCAATCTTTCTGCGCCTGCTACAAATGCGCTGGCCTCTTGATGGGGCCGCACTCTTGTTTCTTCCGCTGTCGCATCTCTCCTATTCACCTCATGATTTTCACAGTCCGTTGTGGGTACCCGCCTCAGCCGGTGATCTCGACGGCAACATCTGTCTCATTGTTCAAACGTTCAAGTCCAACAGCTCCTCGCCCCTCCCGGCCCCTCATGCCTCCTCTCACAGCTGCATTTGCCTCCTGCTCCTCACGTTCTATCTTATTATAGCTTCTCCCCTATCTCTGAATACGCCTATTATAGCCTCGCCTGAAGCGTTGGATGAACGAATAGTACGGTGCGTTTTCCTTCCTGAGTTCGGCCTGCGTCTTCAACTGAAGTTCTCAGCACTTCTACGATCCCTCGAAGCTAACATAGCGGTGTTCTTCTACCACTTGAACTTCTGGACCTCTTTGTCGCCGTGGCGTGCACACCTTATTCTCAACAGCTCCGTGATTAGCAGAAGGCCCAGCTGCGAACTCTTCATCTTCCGCCTGCTGAGATCCTCAGAACATGCGAAGGGCCTCCTGTACGTCAACCACCTCCCATGAAACCTCATCCGTCAGTCCATGCACTCTACTTTCATCTTTATTCCGTAAAATTCCAACTAACAGCTTTCTCCGCAGACGAAGCGTTATATCCTTCTTGCCTTCTTCCTCGCCGTTCACAAACATCGGACTATCGACGGGGCGCCTGTCGATTCTAGATCTATGTCCTCATCGAAATCGCCGATACCCCTCGTCGAAACCGCTAGTCGGGTCCCTGGTTTGGGTCTTCGTTCTACTCTGTCAAACAGCAACTTGGAGGCATCGAGCGTCTTCAGGAGTATGTACGTGCTTGGCCTTTTTAAACGTTGTAAATTACGACTTATTCCTGCAACGCTCCGATAGACTTATGACAGAACGAGTACCGTACCCAGCCCGCGCGCTTCTGAACCATGGCGGCCTCCAACTGATGACGTCGCAGCCCCATATGGCACCTCCATGTGCCATGCGCCATTTTCCTTGCTCCACGCTCTGATGAGAAGCCTGAGCCCAATACCTATCCATTCTTATACATCGCACCACCTCCACACCGCGGGGTGAGGCGACGGCCCAGGTGCGTCGTGCGTGGCATTCTCTTCAAAACTTTCACCCCTTACTCTCAGTCACTCTCGGGCGCCTGTGTCAAAATCTCTTACGTCCAACGCTAGATCCACATTTATTCGCGGAAGCTTCTCAGCGCAGATGGACGTACGAGGTCTTTAGCGCTTTGGCGCTCGCCCTAGAGCTAGAGCTAGAGCATCCTTGTTCGATCTCTCTTGGTCAAGCACCGCATCTGTGTCTGCCACTGTCACTCTGTCACTCTCATCTCTGTCGTGCCATGTATAATGTATGTACGTGCTCTCTCCGTCTGTCCTTGTCTACCTCGAGCTCTAAACCCTGTCTCTCAAGTTCGAGCTCGAGCCCGACGTCGCAACACCTACATAGCCTAGCTAATAGCGCGGGCGCATTACACCAGGCAATAGGCATTAGTCTCCATACCTCCCTCCATGTACGCCTGTCCCCATCGCAAGTACTCCCAACTTATCTCTGCTTATCACTGCCTAGAGATAATTACTCTACAAGTATCACCTCAATCCATTCCCTTTGCGCCCTTCTCTGCTGTCCTTGTACCGCCTGCGTTGCGTTGTCTTCCCTTGTCCTGCAGAATCTTTCTCTTACGTCCTTGTCGCAGCCTCCTCCGCGCCACATTCCCTCCCAACACCAAGTACCTCCGACCTCGTCTCGTCGCCCCTCAAGGCCTCAAGCCCAGCGCCCGTCATCCGTCGTCTTCGCAACCCCTTCTCTGCTGTGCATACGCGCTCAATTCAATCCAACGCACGCGACCCAACCCGTCACTCGGAATCTCGCTACGAGTGCTAATCATAGCGCAGCGGGGTGTATTTTTAGCCCGACGTCGGCACACGACCGTCAATAGATTATAGTGTGGTGGGCGCTGAGCCGACGCCGGAGCCCGGAACACGTTCAGAAGCACTCGGAGGCGGAGGGCAACGAGGCTGTGTTGGTCGGGATCGGCGTTTCTGCCCACAGCCCACAGCCCGCATCCTTCAAGCTTCAGCTTCAACGTTCAACCCCAACACCACTACATAGTAGCCTAGGCCTGTAGGCGCCAGCCTTGCGCCTTGCGCTCGCTACTAGTACTCTACATTGCTCGTGGAGCGCTGCAGGCGTTCGTCTGCGATACAAATTAGAACGCGGGCCCGAGAAGCTATGCTGGAGCCTCGCGACGTCCCAAGTCCTTTATCTTATCCTTCGAACGTTACGGTTTGATATATACCGCGCGTTTTGAGTTGACGGATGACGGATGACGGTCTGGCGGTCTGGCGGTTGTGACATTCGGTGTACATAAGTGTACATGCATACGGTGCCAATGCTAATAATAAATAAATATTCCCAATGCCATTCCAGCGGGAGAGCTTATGAGCATCAGCATCAGCGTCAACATCAACATCAACACCAGCCATCGGGCGGGAGTGGAAGATCGGAGAGCGAGGCCCGAGGGCATGGACACTTGCATGTATAAGGACAGGATGAATTTTACTCTACGTAAGTAACACGGGCAAATGCACTTGAGCGTTCAACGATGTCTATCATATCCAACAATATCCCCACGCATATAAGTACTCTATTCACATTTCCGCCACTCTTCCGAATTACTCTTTCTCCCCCCTCGAGGCTCGAGTGCGGCGTTTGGCGTTTGGGGTATGCAGTATGACTCGGAGCGCGCGTGTTCCCAAGAAACGACTGAACCAAAGCTCAATGGCCATATGTAACAATCAATCAATCATCTGAAGCACCAAAGTAAGAACGTAAAAAAGAATCCGAACAAAAGGTCTGACCAAAATGGTGAATAAGAAAGAAGTATGTAAAAGGTACTTAACGAGGAAATAAGGTCAATAAGAAAGTGGGGTGTAGAATAATGTACGGCTGTATGTACGTTGCATATACTGTATGCATAAAAATTCCCAATGAATCGAACTTGAACATCAAAAGTCAAGGGTGCAAGGTGGTAACTTGTCTGAATAAGCCGATCGTATGCAATGTGCATGAATGAGAAGGTGCAACGAAGGTGAAGGTGAACTTGAAGGGGTGGTGTATTAAGTATACTCAAGGGTCAATCAATCAATGTCTATGTGCGATATCGGTATCGGTACTTTATAATGTCCTTGCTCTGGCTGGTTCTTGGGTGCAGTGTGCGGGTGGGTGCGATTATGGTACGGTGTACGACGGGTATGTGAGGACGGGTGAGAGGTGGTAATGCGGTGAGGAGGCGGGTATTGGGCATGCGAGGTGTAAGTAGCGGGTCGATAAGGAGGAGGGTGGGTGTATGCGCTACCTCGAGGGCGGGGGGTTTTTGGGTGCACGATGACGACGATGCGGATGGAGGAGGGAGGAGGGAGGAGGGCGAGGTGAGGTGAGGGTGGACGAAGGGGGTGAGAGATGATCGATGAGGGGGTGCGTGGAAGGCGAGGGCGAGGAAGGCGAGGAAGGAGAAGGAGGAGAGGCGGATAGCGTAACGTAGTGTGGACGGGTGTCGGGTGTAGCGTTCCGTTTCATCCGTCTCCGCCTCCTCCGACACGACACACGATCCAAAAGCGCACTACCACAACCCCATCCCAACCGTCCACACCGCGCCCCCCACCCCGGCCAGCACACACGCCCCAACACCCACCCACAGGTCCCCCCTTCCCATCTCCCCCAGCTCATCGCCGGGAACGTCGTCGCGAAATTCAGCGTGGGATTCGGGCCTCCGCTCACCGTCACCGTCGGCACGCCCGCGGCGAGCGTAGGTGGGGTAGATGACGGGGTGGACGAGGGCGCGAGGACGGTGAAGCGGGGAGAGGTGGCGTGCATGACGCCGTGTGTTGAGTTGATGAAGATGAGGAAGTAGTCGTCGCCGGGGGGTACGTCGAGCAGGAGGAGGTTGAGGGATTTTTGTTTGGCGGGGACTGTGGGGGGGTTAGCATCGGGGAGGGGTATCAGAGGGTTATCAAGGGGGTGATAACGAAGGGACGGGCAAGGGGCGGAAGCAAGGGAAGGGAAACAGGGAACCAGGGAAGAAAGAAAAGAGAGAGGATACACACCATTCCGCGCGATAAGCATCAGCCCGTCCTGGCTCATCCGTGCCATCTCGACGTCGAACCCGTGTATCCCGTCCAGGACGCCCTTGGACCACGACACGAGGTTGGCGGCGTTGTTCGTCCACTGGCGGTTCGCGGAGGGCTCGTTGATGATGAAGTAGGCTGTTGGTGGGTGGGGGGTAGAGTGGTGTGGTCAGCCGTGGTCAGACGTGGAGGGAAGGGAGGAGGAAGGAGGGAGGGAGGATGACGTACCAGATGTCTGCGCTGCGAGGAAGGCGAGGACGATGCACGCTGTGGTGTACGTCGAGAAGACGTTGGCGAATGGCCGCATAGTTGGAATGGGAAAGGCGGGGCAGTGGCGGGGTGGTGATGAGGTGACGATGCAGGTCTTCGTCGGGGCTGGTCAATTGAGGGGCCCTCCCAACAGGGCACTAGTCGTAGTCGAAGTCGTATACTCTGAATCGTAAGGAACGAACGGTGTAGTGGAGAGAGCGACGAGTGGCCGTTGCCGACTGTAAAAAGGGCAGAGGCGGACGAATGGAAAACTTGCACGCCCAATCAGCGTTGACAGCTCTGGAGCGGCACGTGCTCGGTCCTCAGGGTCGGGCTTCGGCACGGGCGCGGCAAATAGGGCGGGATCTGCCGACGCCGATCGTCCAGACCAAGGATTCTTCATCCCCGACGCAATGGTCAGCTTCCGCTCCCACCACGGGGCACAGGATTTCAACTACCTCCCTCCGCTTTGCCGCTGCAGTCCAACGCTGGGCCGCTCCTCGCTCCTCGTTGGCACACTCGCTCTACCGTACCGTACCGGTCATACCCTCGAAAACTCTGCTCCGAGTCCGGAGTCCCGCACCGTCTCCACTGCCAGCATGCTCTTCTCATCCGCGGGCTCTTCACCCCGTCTCTCGCTATTTCTATCTCGCTAAACCTCACGTCCCTCGAGCCTCGAGGTGCTGTTTCTTGGGCTACGCGACGCCCGTCGCCGACACCGACACCAGCTCTCCTTCCAGGGGATCCTCACAAGGATCATCGGTAGCAACACAGAACATTTCTTCAGCCTGTTGCTGATTTATTTAATATTTCGTTCATTCATTCATCCATACCCATCCATACGCACAGCGAAGGTCATTGCGGTGCTCGATCGAGCTCGGGACTGTGCACGTTCTCCTCGACTGCTGTGGGTCTCTCGGACCGAGGTCTAATACGCACATCTCAGCGCCCGGGCCGAAGACACTCCATTCCTCTGCCGTTTCCGCAAGGACTCCTCGACGGCGACGGACGGTAATGCTGTACTTTGGGATCGACGTCCGAGTTCTACGCTCAAGCTGACATCTGCCCCCAGCGCCTCAGCGAATAGAGTGCTCGAGTACATCACCCATCACCCATCCTCACCCCCCCTCCAGATCCGCGACTTCCAATTGCAACCTCTCGAGCTGGATCCTTTCGCTTCAAACCCGGAATTAAAATTCCGGAATGCCTTCTCCCCCCCTCTGAGTCTGGCTCCATGCAGAATGGAATTTAAATCATGACCTCGAGCTGGACCCGCCCTGCGTTCCGTATACAGCCTACACCCACTCAACGTGCACCGCAAGCTGGCCATCGCCCTGCAGACCGCTCCTCGTCCTCGTCCTCGCCGTCTACTCCTACTCCTACTCCGACTCCTACTCCTACTCCAGCGTAGCATCCACGTATATATGTAGCTCCATACTCGAACCGCGTCCGCCGCCGCCGCCGCCGCCGCTTCTCCCGCTCGTACGCTCCGCCGCTTCTCCCGCTCGTACGCGATGCGACGCCATGACTGCGTATATAATATACTCTAACCTGCTCCCTTCCCCACTTAATCTGCTCCCTCCCTTCCCACTTAATCTGCTCCCTCCCTTCCCCACTTTCTCGCTACCACCCCCGAGGGGATCCCAGAGTACTAGTCTAGTCTACGGGTGCGCAACCTTTGAACGAACGTTAACGTGCCCAATGCTTCTCGAGCGAGGAGGAACGCTTACTAGTAGCTCGTCTGCACCGCACTGGTAGATCTCCTTCACCTCACCCCTCCTTCCTTCCTTCCTTCCTTCCTTCCTTCCTTCACCACCCACACCCCTCCTTCCTTCCTTCACCCCTCCTTCCGTACCCCCCCCCCCCCCGATCCCTCATGTCGGGACTTAAATCTAATTCAGCCGATTCCAAGTTGGGTCCCCATCCTACTCTACGCAGGAGCGACATATCTACGCCTACGCCTACGCCTTCGGGCCTGTTATCCTGGCCAGTCGCCCAAAGTACTCCGCATACTCTACTCTACTCTACTCTACTCTACGATAGGCTGATGCTTTACCAGGTGAGAACGAATTGGGTGCGTTGAAGTTTATCCAGAGTGCGAGCGCAAATTATATAATCATAATTCCGAGGGGGTTGTGCCAGGGGACGACGGTCGCGCACGGATGCTGGGTTTTGAGCCTGAGG